CCCTCTTTTGCAGGATTCTTGAGCATGGGCAGGAGAGGATAGAGATTGATGAGGACGGGGAGCTCAAAGTGGCAGAAGTGCATGGTAAGAAATCAATGTGTGGGGATTCGGGAAGGGTGTGTGCATACGAGGGAAGAAGCCCAGTTCAGAAAAGGACTATGCATTAGCCGGGGCTTGGAACAGCTAAAGAACAGCTCTAGAGCTTACTCTAGATTGGAGGGACTCTCGAAATGGGAGTGCGTGCCACCTCGCTAAGCTCTGATAGCTGGGCAGGATTTAGACCAGACGTGAGCAACTTTTTGTGCACTAGGTTGCCTCCGAGGTAGTCTCTTTGTGGCCACATACTGGCACTGAGCAGAGGGAATGGGAAGGACAGTTTCTCTTTGCTGTTTCCCCTCCTTTGCTTGTCTCCTCCAGACCTCGCCAACAACCTGAAGGCTCGGGTGGAACACATCCAGCAAGAACAACCAGACGTGCTGAGTTCTGCAGCCGACATCCGGCTTCCACCCCGACCACAGAGTGCTGGCTCCTCTTTTGCCTACCCCGAGAACGAAGACAAGGAACTGCATCGGGCTATGGCCTACAGCCTGTCTGAGATGGAGAATGTGGGGCAGCACCTGGCTGTCTCCAAGAAGAGACGGGGAAGCGCTCGGAGGATACGCAGAAAAGCATCAGGACATAGTGAGGAAATGGCCACTACTCCCTTGCCTATCAGAGCCAAGAGCCCAGGCGCAGGAGACAACACAAAGAAGGAGAAGGGAAGCAAGCCCATGGAAGAGCCCAAGGCTGAAGGAAGCACAGTGGTGCCAAAGGGTCGGCTTGCGCCTGGCCCCGACGACAATGACTCCGCCCTTAGTGACATGCGGTATGTGTTTCCGGATGTTGCTCCTTCTCGCCGAGAGAGGGAATCTCTTACGTGCACCCTTCTCTAAGCCCCAAGTTACAAGAGGAGAGCAAACACCCTGTGTCCAATAAAGGTCACCATCTGGCTCTTGGTCTGCACAGTCACATTCTTCTTTGGGAAGCAGCCTGTCTCACTGTGCCACTGGGCACTGTACAGACTGGCCAAGCTTAGCTGCGCATCTGCTGGATTTATTCAGATGCCAGAGTTTGGCATTTTTGGGCACAGGCCCTGGGAGGCCTTCTCAAAATGCCCACAGCAGGGAATCATCTGTGGGAAGAGCAAGGGGCTTGACCCCACAGGGGCTCCTTCCATTCACTGAAGAACCAGTCTGTGGCTCTTCTGCATTCCCATTCCAGTTCACCCTGATCCAAGTACTTAAATAAAAAAAACAAGGTGTCTGTATGAGTGGAAAGAGTTTTCAGTGTATGAGAAAACTGTTGCCCAGACTGATGCCCCCCAGATGCTTTGGACTTCCACTCCCATCAGCCCTATCCATTCAGCATGGCCAATGGACAAGAAGGTTCAGCATTGTAGTCCAAAATATTTGGAAGATACCAGGTTGTGTAAGGCTGGTGGGTGAGATTCATAAAAGCCAGGTTCAGACTGTAAAGGAGCTTAGTGAAGTATCTGCATGGTTTGAAAAGAAGGAAATATCCATGAGGTATAATTTATCTCCTGCAGAACTTTAGTGAAGAATTTCTGCCTGTAAAAACACAGAATATTTCCTGGTTGATTTGGCTACTTGAGGCAATGCGGGTGAGATGATAGCAGGAAGTCGTCCCTTGTACGTATCTTGAACACAGTGAGATCAGGTGCTCTATGATTGCTTCAGGAGATTATTCCAAAGGGCGCTGGGAGGAGAGAGAGGTGCAGGAGAGGCAAAAGCCACATGCTCTGACCCAGATGCATGGAAGCAAGTTGCAACGGTTCAATGCTTTGCACATTCAGAATGGCAGTCATCTTTCCCACCAACTTGCAGACTCAGAGAATTGAGTCCTGGCTGTAGTGTGAGGTAGATGACAAAGCACATTAGCAGAGGACCAACTTGTTGAACAAGTTGATAGTTAATCTCTGTTCTTTACCATACTTTGGAAGAAAGTAATTGGAAAAGTGCAAAGTAGCAGGGCTAGGAAACTGTTCTACTTTATTTTGCAAGTGGATGCGCACACAGATTAAAATCTAACTGCACATATTCTTTGTGTGAGACCTGCCCTAGTGAATATACTTTGGAACTGAGCAGGGTGAATTCATCCTGGGCTAAGAAAGGCTCTTCCAAAGCACTTCAGGAATGATTACTTTGTTTAATAGTAATGAATAATAAGCAAGTTTTAGCTTGTATAAAACATATGCATATTTACCAGGCCATAACATGGGCAGTGTCTAATCTGGCGCAGGCCCTATTCCTGAGGCAATATTTGCATATTTAAATGTATGTAACACAGAGAGCATGAATCTAAGCTGCAAAAAAAGTCACAGGTTAAGTTGTTTTAGATCATAGTGATATGATGCACAGCCTGGCCCCATTTTTCTGGTCTATTGCCAGAACTGACATTCCTCACTCATATATCTGGAGGCTCCTTGTGGGGTTGGATGTTCATGAGCAGAACTCCACTGCCTTGTTCATGAGCAATGAGCAACAGCCCTTGGGGACACAACACACGTTTTCCAACAGGATAAGCAAGCTCCCCAGTGGTTTGTTTTGGTAGATCTCAGGCTCTGGGTTTCATTCTCAGGGAAGCAAACTAAATCTCAAGAGTCATCAACTTGCCTGGCCCCTTGGATGCTTGGTGCTTCTAGCTATGCTAAGCTGAGACATGTCTGCCTGTAGCAACTATTGCACATATCAAGTTTATATCTGGCATCACCAGTTCTATAAAAATATAATGTATGTATTTATTTCAGTTTTATACTGTCCAATAGCCAAGGCTCTCTGGGTGGTTAACAAAAGTTAAAAACCAACAAACAAAAACAAATATCATAAGACAATAAAGCCACAGCGATTGCAACAGAATCAGCAAAGAGGTATAGCAGTGGTACAGGGTAAAATGCAATATTAAAACTAAAGTTAACTGTTAAAATACTGGAGAAAGGTTTTCACCTAGCACTGAAAAGAATACAGAATAGGCACCGGGTGCACTCTTTGGGGAGCTTATTCCATAGCTGGGTGCCACAACCAAAAAGGCCCTTCTCCTGGTAGCTACCTGCCTCACTTCCTTTGGAGGGGCTCTTAGAGAGGGACTCCCAAAGATACCTCAGGATCCAGGTAGGTACTTATGAGATTAGGTGCTCCTTCAGATAACCTGGCTCCAAGCCATTTAGGGCTTTGAATTTTAATACTTCAACTGGCAGCCAGTGCAGCTGGAAGAGGACTGGTATGTTCTTGTAAGCCAGTCTCCATTAACAATCTTGTTCCTCTGTTTTGGACTCACTTGAGTCTTTGGACCATTTACAAAAGCAGCCTCATGTGCATCACAGTGCAGTAATCCAAATGAGGGGTTATCAGAGCATGGATAACTGTAGCTAGGCTTTCTCTGTCCAGGTAGGGTCATAGTTGGTATATCAACCTAAACTGATAAAAGGTGCTTTGTGCCACCAAGTCCATTTGTGCCTTAAATGACAGCTCTGGATCCAGGGGCATCCCCAAACTATGGATCTTGTTCTTTAGGGGGACTGAAACTCCATCCAGAACAAGTTGGATATCACCCAGTTGGAGTGATGTACAAGAGTGGTTAATTGCTCTGGCCATATTGTGGCTAACTTGTTGGACAGAGAGAAACATGTAGAAAAGGGAAAGTGCTTTAAAGAGTAGCTGATTCATTCATACTTGTTCTTGATTTCCTTCATATGCATACAGTATTTTGCTGTTTGTATCCATTTTTCTGGGCATTTAGTGTGCCACCCATTTACTACTGAGACATATTCCCATGCTGGGACATATTCCCATATTCCCAGGGTTTGTTCTGTTTTCATGTTTCAAAAGTTGGCAATGCTGTGACACCACCCATCTAGTATCTGAACCCTGCAAATGTGTTATCAGCAGCAATATCCGAAATGCTGAGTCATTGCAGCTGACCTGCCATCCATCTTGCTTGCTCTGTTGGTGCATCATGCCTTAGCGGTGTTACTGCTCCTCTCTCTTTGCATAGCCCGCAGTCTTTCTTCACTCACTTTCACACAACAGCACTTGCTAAAATAAGTGTATGCTCTCAGGTGACTACCCCACACACTGAAGATGACTGCCCCACACACAAACACACACTTTGAGCTGGACAATTAGATTTGTCCAGGCTGTTTGAAATTTCCTGATGATGAGGGACAAGGGCGCTGCACAAACTCAAAACAAGTTCTAGATAATTTCTTCACATTTCAGGGCAAAATCTACTGAAAACTAGAGCTGGGGCTCGGCCTTGGAGAGCTCAAATCCTGACATGTGCTTCTACACACCAAATTGCAAGGAGTTTTGTTCTTAAAGATTTATAATGTGCAAACATTCTGCCGAGTTCTGTGAATTTCTTCAGCATTCCAGTCCCCAATACTGTCAAGGGAATGTACCTACATTTACTCTATTTAAAAGATCCGGAGGAGGGTTATCTAATTCATTCATGATTGGCCAAACGAGCCAGTGCAAACGTCAGACGTGCACATATGCATCCTAAACGGTGGTTTCCTACCCCTCTCAGTACAGGGGTTTACGTGTAGCAGCAAGACCCACTGTTTAACATAGAAAACATGAGCGGAGGCCAGACAGACGTAACGCTGCGCAGCAGGTTCTGAAAGAGAAGAGGCAGCAATAACCCGAGAAGGTGGAGTGCCGCGTGGGCGGCTGCGTGCGTGCCCTAGCAGAACGGGATGCCTGAGTGTACCCCTCCAAGGCTGCGCGTGAGATCCGGGGAGGCTCCGCTGCGCTCCTCAGCACAAACAGCCCAATCGAGAGAATTCCTCCGGCGTCTCTACAGCTGCTCTCTGCGGTTGGGCTGCCTTACCTCATCAGTTCAAAGTGCATCGTTTGACGTCACAATGGAGCGGCGCGTTCCATTGGCCCTTGGCACTGCCAATCCTCAGGGTGCTCTGGATTTGCTGGCTAGGAGCCGGCCTTCTTTTCCCTTGACAGCTGCGGCCGAGGATTAGAGCAGTAGGCGCAGATTTGTGTCCGTCGTCTGGGCGAGGTGGGTGTTGCGGTGGCCATGGTGCGATCCGGACAGAGCCTCCTCAAGTGGTGAGGTAGGTGGCTTTGGTGGGTCCTATACGATGGGTGGGAGCATGCTGCGGAGCGTGCTTGCTTTTTGTTTTTGTCTAGGGCATCAGACGTCTTTGCAAAAAACAAAAGGGAAGAGTTTGGCCTTACAGTAGTGTAAGGCGTGTATGGGGGAGCGCAGATCGAATATTGCGTGCCAGTGCATTGGAGGCAGTGTCTCGAAGTTGCTTGATCGGTAATAATTCCCTTCAACCGACTTGGTGCCTTCTCAAACCTCGCCCTATGGTACCCACATTCAGGCTGAATAAAGCGTAGTAAAATCACGGTGACGCCCACTCCTCTCTTCCCCGCTTCAAAGCATGTTTGTGTCTCCAGTGGGGAATTCTGATCCTTGTTAGTAATTGTGGGCACGGAGCCAGCACGTGGTTTCTATTCTGGATTAATTAACGGGGGATAGGAAGTGTTCTTCAGTGAGTGTATAGGGTTAAAAATGGAGGAATGGGAAGCCCAACAGAGGCATTGTCTCGTGTTAGGAATGCCTGTGTCTTCTCCGCCCAGAATTGCAAAAAAAGCGCTTTCAACCTAAAGGTGTTGCAGCTGGTGTTGTTTATCGCGAATGCGTATTATGGATGGTGTTCCTCGCCGGCAGGAAAATGGGCTGCCCGCGACTGACTAGGTGGCGCAGGAAAAGGCGCTGTTGGAACACTCGAGAAGCTGAAACGCGATCGGCCCCGGGGGCCGGATCTGTGGTGCTTTGGTCCGACGGGACAACGCAAAACAAAGGGAGAAGCGCAGGCCTGGAGCCACCAAGTCCAGCCGCTTAGGCAAAATGCGCCTTTTCATTAGGAGCCATACTGTGTAGAAGAGAGGGTGGGAGACTCCGGCGGCGCTCGCCCGAACGCAGCAGGTTGCTTGCTGTAGATTAAGGATTTTGCCGGTAAAATGGGGCGTGGAACAGGTTTTGTGTTTTAGCCGAATTCCCTTGAACTGAATAAGAGCTAAGTTGCTAGATCAGCCTTGAGTGGCAGAGAAAATTACGGATCTAGTTCGCTTTAAACACCAATAATATGAGTTGGGAGGGGCGGGGAGAAGAATTAGGGTGCAGTCCGACGCACATTTCAATAGAAAATTCCTGCAACCCGCAGCATTGTCCAGCTAGCCATGTTGTGAACTGTAGATACTTTTGTGTCTAAACATGCATAAAATCGGGCCTTTAATTTGTGAAACGTTTGGAGTAATCTGGGATGACGGTATCTGCACACATACAGTACAACATGGGATAACGTGAAAGCGTTAAGGAAGTGTTATTTTCTTTGTTTCTGGATTGAAAATGTGCAGTGTTGGGGTGGGTAGATTGCTCAATGCAAGCTGGGCTCCCAGTTTTTGTCCTGGAAACCCATCTTTCTTTGCTCCCAGGGCACCCACTGTTGGGGGGTACTCTGCCAATTTACTGTTGTTTTGCATATTCCAGGTTACTGGGAATCAGTGCTTGATCAGAGCCTCAGCGCAAGGTGGAGTGACCCTGGGGATCTTTGTTTTAAAGGGATACTGGGATTAAGGACTGGCACCTGAGTGTTAAGGGGAAGGGGATCTTTCTGCTTCTTTCCTAGAGGAGGCAAAACCCCTCCTTGCTGTAGAAGCCGTCTCTGCTTCAGCACTCCACCAAGCAGCGAATAGAAGGTAAGGAAGTGGTCCAGAGCTCTGAGAAAGAGAACATGGGCAGTTGTCTTATCAAAGTCAGACCTTTGGTCCAGCTAGCCTAGTATTGTTTTCACCAGTTTGATTTGCATGATCACAGTGACTTGTTTAAGCCATTGCACATGCCAGTCACTATTTATTTGCCTACTTACCTGCCAAGGTACAGCTTAGGCTGTGTTCTGGACTCAAATATATTCCCTCAGACAAACCATACTGCCCAGGTTCAGAGTTGCTTAAGCTATGCACTGGGCCACTGACTGGCAGCACTTCTCCAAGGTTTCTGACAGGAATTTTTCCAGAACCTGAAACTTTCTCCCTGCAAAGCTCTACCACTGAACAATGGCTTCTGATTTTCCTGGAAATCCAGCAGAGGGGGAAAGAAAGGACAGCCTGAAATTTGAAATGAGGTTTGGTTTGGTTTATTTTATTTTTGGTAGTGGGATATTTCTCATTCTCTCTTCTCCATCACCATTTTAAATCTATACTTTAAGAAAAACACGCTTTGCTATTATTTATTCTAACATTTATATTCTGCCTGTTTTCCTATTACAAAGAATCTAGGTTGGTTTACATGCTCCTCCTTTCTGTTATCTTCTCAAGAACGCTGTGAGGTTGGTTAAGCTGAAAATCAATGACTGGCCCAAAGTTAGTTGAAGAGCTTCATTTGCTGAATAGGGACTTGAACCCGGGTTTTCACACCACACTTATTCTCCCATTGATGGAAAGATGCATAAATATCAAGGGGATAAAGGGAAGCTGCACTTCTTGAATCAGAGATACCAGTAAATGAGACTGAGGGGCTCAAAAGAGGTTAGTTCTGATGAGTATCAGGAGAAGATAGAAAAGGCAAGATGAGTTTGGTAGTTGACAGGCCATCCCTGCCAGTAAACAAGTGGAGTGTGTGTGTGCTGTGGGGTCAGGGACCAGTGTCATCTCCTGACCTCACCCAACTGTTCACCTCTTGGAGGACCGAGCTGTGTATACTACATGGCTCTGCCTTGCACCCTTTAATCTAGCATGCTGTCCAGTCACGAGTGAAGTAAGCTTCCTCTGGCATTTAGCTATATGGAGTTGTAGTGAGGGTGGCCTCTCCTGAATTCTTTGTTTTAGGCAGCAAAGTGTGCTGAGGTGGCCCTGGTGCAGGCAAGCTTGTAAGGAACATGCTATTGTACATCACCTGGATTCAAGGGGCTGTGTGTCCGCTTGATGTGCTTCAGCATGGCATACAACTAGCCCGTTAGCTTCTGGTTGTGAGTCAAATGTCAAGACTGAACTGGCAAGCACGGACTTGCAAGTCAGCAGGCAAGCTGAGCTTTAGAATCAGGCTATGGCCTTCTTAGATCGATAACCCTTCTTGTGGTGTTCCCTTCCTGCAGCAATTCTTGCTCCTCCTCTAGCCTCCTGATCTCTTAAAAACTTAATGGCTGTTAAACCGCTTAATGCTGGAAGATACTTAAAGAGCAAGGCCTGGGCCAGTAGCATCCTTTTCGGTGCAGTGGAGCTGGGTCAGCTCAGGTGCTTGCTTGTCCGGCCTCTGAGTAAAAATGCTTCCCAGTGGGACCTCCATTTTTTTACTCTGAGGCCCAGCCCACTGCGTGCACAGTGATGTTGCAGGGCTGTAACAAAAGGCATACATGTAGATGAATCTCCACATTGCAAGCAACTGTTATAAAGCCACTTCCTGTTTAGCTGAGGCAGTTTTGGCTAGAATAAGTATTAGGTGGTTTTGACTGAAAAAACGCAAGCTTCAAGCGACTGTGGCTTTTCAGACCTGGGTACCAAATGTGGCCCTTCAATGTTCTGCACATGGTCATACCTTTCCTTTTCCACAATGATTCTTGGCTTTTATGGTAGGGTTTTGTTTTGGGTTTTTTCTTTTATGTAGTTTTCCCCCTCCATTTAAAAAATTGACGTTTCTTCTGAGACTCATTTATTGGTAGTAAGAGATTTAAGCTAAAGTGTGTTGGGGTTGTGTTGTTGTTGTATTTTTGGCCCCACCTCTTTTGGCTTTGGCCCTTCCCCTTTGCCTTCAGTCCCACCCCTCTTTGGAGTATGGTCCCCAAGAAATTGAATTTGGCCCTCAGGATGAAAGGGGTTCTCTAGCCTTGGCTTAAGGCAGTTAACAAAAAGATGTTGTGCTGTTGTGGCTTGAACCAGAAATCCTGTTTAGGCTTCAGGAGGCATCTGCCAGGTTGTATCTGCTATGTACTTGTAGATGTATAGGAGTTATTCAGAACTGAAATTTTATCTATGGGTTTCAAGGCAAGCAAGCTGGAGCTATTCAGAGTTGTTTACTAGATGCAAATTTTGAGAGTGTATATTTAGGTAATTTTATTTTTATGTTCACTTCTCAAAGAAACTGTAGCAAATTCCTTCTCCTATGAAAACCCAATACTGCTGGGCTTTTTTGCTTTGCACTACAAAGTTTTTGGATGCCAGATTCAAAAATGCACATGCTGGCTTTCTGGGGGTGGTCTTCACAATCTAGAGTGCAAGGAGTTGTCCAGGGTGGAATGGATCTTGCTTAAAGCACAATACAGTGGTACCTTAGCTCATGAACTTAATCCGTTCCAGGACTGGTCGTGACTCAAATTGGTCGTGAGCCAAATTAAATTTCCCCATAAGGTTCAATATAAATAAGGTTAATCCATTCTGTAACTATTTTTTAATCAGAAAAATGTAAAGCAAAGTGACAAAGAACAAAAAAGATCATGGCCATCTCCCCACCCCCTGCACCCTGAGCATGAGCATGGCCATCTCCCCACCCCCCCAGCACGACCGCAATCACACCTCTCATCGCTGCATGAGCCCGTCATCCCGCCGCGCTGGGGGGGGGGGAGCAATGGGCAAGAGCATGGGCACGCTGGGGGGTGGGAGACAGGCGCGAACGCAGGTGCACTGGGTGGGAGAGACAGGCACGATCATGCTGGGGGCAGGAGATGCCCGAGATCACCGTTGCGCTCCTGCAGGAAAGACGGGCCAATCTCAGCCATCTCCCCCACCACCACCCCCAGCACGATCATGACCATCTCCCCACTTAGGAGAGTGGGGAGATGGCCGTGATCGGGGTCGCCACCCACTGCGGAGTTCACGACCTGAGTCAAAAATTTTATGAAATTTTTGTTCGCAACCTGATTTGGTCGTGAACCAAGGCGTTCGTGAGCCGAGGTACCACTGTGATATTAAATTCTTCTCTTAAAATAAATAACTTCATACTTGGCCAGAAACATTAGATTTAGTGGGTTGATGCATTTGCGTATTAGACAGTTGTCTAATTTAGCTTTATTTCTGATTAGAGTTACTTCCCTTTTTAACTAACTGGTACCTTAATTGTCTGCAAAGGAACAAATTTGATAGAGGAAGGAAGGAATGAAGTATATTCTGTCCTAATGGGGAACGGTTGAGAACTATAGAGAAATAGGGAGCTGCTGTCATAGTCCTGTTATTACAGTACTTTAAATCCCACTCTGCTGCCCTCAGTTTTCTAAGCCTTCATTGACCTTTATGTATTTTGTGTGCCTGCAGGAAGACTTCAGAGTGTTAAATTTAGAAAAATGGCATGTGAGGGGAGATGTGATCAAGGTGTACAAAATTATGCGTGGTGTGGAGAAATACTAGAACATGGGATCAGCCCAGGCGGTTGAATGGGTGAGAAATTCAGGGCAGATAAAAGGAAACATTTCATAAGGCTCATAATTTAATCATGGAACTTGCTATTGCAGAATGTGGTGATGGCCACGAGCATGGGGTGTAAGACTGTGGTTGCCTGCTGTGATGGCTGCATGGAAGCAGCATGTGTCTGCGCATCAAGTGGTACAGGATGCTGTTGCCCACATGACTGCTGGTGTGTTTCCTGTAGGTAGTTGGTTGGCTACTGTATGAACAGAATGCTGATTAGATAGACTTTTGGGCTAGTTCAGCATGGCCTTTCTTATGTTCTTAATCTTACTCCTTTGAAAACAGAAAAAGAAAAGCGGAAAGTCTCATTAAAAAAAGGAAAGAAACATAAGATTTCATTGCGTAACAGTCTGGATCTGTGCCTGGAGCAATTGCAACGGTGTGCTTTTTAGAATTCTTTTTTCCTTGTGCCCTTCCAATTTATGGTGACCTTATAAATGACCTGTCCTTTATAGCTCAGCTCTTGTAAACACAAGACTGTGACTTCCTTGATGGAATCAATTCATCCAATTTGGAACCAGCTATTTTCTATACATTCCAAAGTAGCTCTGAAGTAAATGATTGGAGAGGAGAAATTCAGTGTAGAAATGTTTCCAGTTCCTTATATTGAGTTCAGGTCATTCCTAGCATTTCCCTTTCATGGGCAATTTCACAGAATTCTCTTCCCAATCTTCTACCAAGTGGTCTGACCTTGCAATGAGGCTTGGGGTGGACTGTTGGCTGCTTTGGCAATTTCTCTTTTGCTGACCTGGATTGTACAGTTTTCCCTACTGCAGTAGCATCAGTAGTTCCAAAGAGCCCAGGAACTGAGAGCTCTTGGTCTGGGTGTATCAGTGAGTCCCCTTGGCATGTGCCTAGAAGACTCAGATTGGTATGATAAGTCATTTGGGTTGCTTCTCAGCAGTGAAGTAGAGTATATGGGAAAACTACCCCTGAGTCCCTGTGTGGTATAGTGGTCAGAGTGTTGGCCTGGGACTCAGGAGATCCAGGTCCTTGTCCCCAGTCATCCATGAAGCTCACTGTGTGCCTTTTGGCCTAGGCGCTGGCTCTGAGCCTAACCTACTCACAGGCTTGTCGTGAGGATAAAATAGAAAGGAGGACCACCTAAGTTGCCTTGGGTTCCTTGTTTGAAGGGAAAAATGGATAACAGGAAGAGGAGGACGTGGTTTGTGAGGTGCTGCAAGAGGTGTCTTACATACTAACTGCTTCCTCCCACTTCAGTCTCCCAGTGGAACACAAGTGGACACCATGGTGGATTACTATGAAGCACTGGGGGTGCCCCACAATGCCTCACCAGATGACATCAAAAAGGCGTAAGTTGCATTTTTTATCTTTCTGCATGAGGCCACCCGTTCAGCTTGTCAGGAGATATTTCTTTTACCTTGTGCCTGCTGTGGCTGTTGAGCTGGTGCCCGTGTGGCTTGGATGCTCTGTGAGAGTGTTGGCACAGTGTGCCTGGCTGTAGTAAGCAAGGAAGGGAATTTGGATTGAGTCAGTGACAAGAATGAAAGCATCCTGAGGTGTGCAATGTTTCCTGCCAGATGGGGAACAACAAGGATGTACAGGAGGTCAATTTTATTGCCACTTTTGCCTTTGACGCTAACAAGTCATTGTGTGTTCCACCTTTCCTGCATTTTTGCCTTGGATTCTTTCCCTTTTTGCTTGGTGCATTTGGGTTCTCAGTTTTCCTGTGGAGAATCTAGTAGTTCTTAGATAAAGGCCTAGAACAGGTGATTTGAGCTGCATTGCTGGCTCCTTGGGCTTTTGCAGAACAAGTAACCAGGTGCCATGCATCCATCAGCATTAATTAATTACTTTATTATTTATTTATTTAAGACATTTTTATGCCGCTCCCATCGCAATAAAGCCTCGGGGCAGCTCACAACAAGAACAAAATATACAAATATAACAAATTATACAATAAAAATAGTAAAACCCGGTGCATCTTGGCTTAAGAGATTTAAAATCCTATAAATAACCAATAAATTAACAATTAAAATAAGTTTTAAATTAAAAGGTCTTAGCCTGGCACTGAAAAACAAATAACGACGGCGCCAGGCAGACTTCTATGGGGAGCGCATTCCATAGATGGGGTGCCACCGCAGAGAAATTACGGTAGCTTCCCTGTACACTCTGTACTGTACACTCTGCTTCCTTGGGAATCCTCAATTGAAGGGTGACTTAAATTCCACTTGTCTGATTTTGTTTACTTCAATGTTCAGAATTTCTCAGAGGAGCATTACTATAAAAAATGAGGATGGTCAAAATGACAAGCAAAAAATAACATAGTGTATTTTTTAATTGCCAAGGGAAAAAATAACTTATTGCACTGGCTTTCTAAAGTTTGCTTCATGTATTTCCCAAGCTAGAATACATACTGGTTGGTTGAGATTGCAATTAAAGTATGTAACAAGAGAAACTTACTGGAAGTAACACTTGGGGTTGTGGGAAAGAAAACGAGCTCGATCTTTTAGACAGACTGGTTTTCTCCATCTCAGAGCAAGGTAATCGTATGTTAGAGGGACAACCTTTGTTGTAGAGCTACTTTTGTCCTCAAAAAGTGCTCTTGTGGGGAAATCAGCACTCCTGGACTGAACAGCCTTGAAGTGTAAGACCAGGAAGGGCAGTGCATAACTGTAGGGTTGGGCAGAAAATCGTTCTCCCGGTGTTTTGAATGTCAGTCACAGAAATCCCTGCCAGCATGTCCAGGAATGCTGGGAGTGGAAGTCCAAAGAGTCTCCTTTCTGCCCACTTCTGCTCTGGAGCACAAGAATGACAGTAAACAAAGGGACTGCCTCATATGCTCAGCCTGGAGTTCTTTGCGGTATTACAGCGTCATGAAAGTATAGATGCAAATGCTCTTTAGCACCAAATTCCTCATGAGAGGAACTTGCCCACCTGTTCTTTGTGCCAGTGCAGGTTGGATGTGTCCTAAGTCTTCAGGACACATGTAAGAAGGTAAAAAGTATCCTAGGAACTCTTGAAGCAAGTTACCAAAGAGCCAAACAGCCAGGCTCATTGCTTGCTTGCTTCTGCTGTGAGAAACCTTGGTGGCCATAAGGCAGGAGTGGAAATTTGAGGTCCCCTAAGGTTGCTAGACTACAGTTCCCATCATCTTCAAACACTTGCTGTGCTAGTTGGGGCTGATGGGAAATGTAGCCCTCCAGCAGCTAGAGCCATAGCTTTCCAACTCCTGCCATAGGAAACCTTCTGTGAGTCCACATATTTTAGTAATTCTAAAGCGATGGCACATTTAAAAACACAGCTTACAGCATATTCTCATGTTTTACTTGCAAGTAAGGCTGCAGCCCCCCTTCCCAAAAACTTGTTTTCCTAAACTGTTGTGCCCTGCCCCGTATAGGGGCTAACAGAACAGGGGAAAGTTTGATTGGCTTTCTTTCTGTGGTCATCAAAGAGAGATTAGCAAAAGAAGCATTTGGTAGGAGAAGGTTTAAACTTCTCTCACACAGTGAACCCAAGAAAAATTAAAATGGTAAGCTGCATGCTACATATGTAAATGTCCCTTAGAATATAAAGCAAAACCTTTGGCTGTTTGTTTGTGCTCTGATGGGAGTGACATGCTGGAGAACCAATGATTGTGTGATTGTGTAATGATTGTTCACTGCTTTCAGTTGAGCTGGGGATCTTCTCTTGTTGGTCTCACAACCTGCTGCTGTGCATTATGCAGAAGTTCATGGGAATAATTTCATTTCACATAATGTTGAGGGTCTCGCCTTTCTTATAGGAGCAGAACATGGAATGGCTGCTAAAGAAAGTCCAGATAGAGAGGGATGTGGTGGAGCAATGGTATCTCTGTGGTACGGAATCTTAAAGAAACACACACCAACTGTGTTGTTTGTTGTTGTGTCTTTGGGGATTAAAACAGGTACAGGAAGAAAGCCCTGCAGTGGCACCCGGATAAAAACCCAGATAACAAGGAATATGCTGAGCAGAAATTCAAGGAGATAGCGGAGGCCTATGAGGTGCTCTCAGACAGTAAGCAAGTGACCTTTTTATTCTCCTCCCTCAGCCTTTCTGACTGTCCTGCCCATGTACTGGGGGGCATTTCTTACCCTGAGATCTCTCCTTTCACAAAGGGGGTAACATCTATTCACAGCTTTGGCCTGGAGTGGGGAGAAGGGCGTGTCTAGATAAGATATGCAGGAGGGGTCCTTTGCTTGTAATTAAAACCCTGAGATTCCCCCTAGTCTTTAAAGATGTTGCCTTAAAGAATTATGAGTGCAGGTTTGTTCTGATTACTAGAACTCTATGGTGCTTATGCTTCCCACACAGGAAACCCACCTTTGGTTATCCTGAACTTTCTTCATTTCAGCAATTAACTTAGGATAGGAGTTACTTTATAATTGATGTTGTTAAACAGGTGGGTGTCAGAAGCCATCACTCACTGGCACAGCATCTCTTTGGTGTGCAGAAGGTCCCAGGTTCAGTCCTTGGCATCTCCAGGTAGGACTAGGAGGGAATCCTGCCTGAAACCTTGGAAAGCTGCTGCCAGTCAGTGTTGACAGTACTAGGCTATATGGACCAAGGGTCTGAATCCATCTAAGGCAGCTTCTGAAGTTTAAGCATTTGAAAGCTTACTGCAGAGATCTATCTTCTGCCTACTCCTGATATAGGAAATAGCTGGTAGGTAAAGCTGAGAACACCCAATTAAGCCTTGAAAGGATTGGAGCACCAGGACAGGCTCCCTGGGACAAACTAGACATCCATGGACATGAGATGCCTTAAAGCTTAGACTTGTGATGTGCTGGACTGCAGTGCCCGACAATCTGCAGTCAGGGTGGCCACTGGCTGTCTGGACTAACCATTGACTCTGTTGGACTGACTACCCTCTCACAGTCTTAGAATTCTTCTTTGAAATATGGGCCTGACTATACTGGCTTCCTTGTGTGGGTTGCTGCAAGCATTACAGAGATAATGTGAGTTCTCTGAGCATCCTGTATAAGTACCGCTACATCCTAATACAAATCAGAGCTGGTTAGAGAAGATCAGGGGTTAGACTCGTTGATATCAGTAGCATTCTCTGGATGAGGATGTGTGTCACCATTCAAGGCCAGAGAGATTTGCCCCAGTCACCCTCTTCTCTGAGGACAACTGTCTAACCTGGATGCTTCCTGATTTCAGAGAGCAAGCGTGAGGTCTATGACCGATATGGCAAAGAAGGGCTCATGGGTGCAGGTAAGCTGCTTGGTCGGGATTCAACTTAGCTTGGGGAGAGGCAAATGCCATCTGGTGCTTCAAAACCATGGCTCAAGTTAGAAACAGCAATCCAGATTGCCCTGGGGGTGGTAAAAAGGAAGGAGGTAACAACGATCAGGTTCCTTGCAGCTCAGAATTGCATGCTTTGCTCATTAGCACCTTCCACCTTGGCATCACTGTGTGATGGATGTCTTTGACAAAGTTGTTCTTGGGAGGATGTGGCACAATTGAGTACCTGCTTTGAGAACAGAATGTGGCTCCTACTTTGCACAAAACTAAAGCAGCTTGTATTGAGGCCAGGCCTGTATGGCCCAGAGAAAGGATGCATCCCCGTTGAGATGGTTGGAATCTCATTGCTTTCAAGAGCATGCCTGGTTTTTGCAGTTCTTGTTGGCTTTTTGTTCAACATAATTTTCCATGTGTTGCTCCTGGCTCATCATCTGTGAAGCTACCTGCAGAGGTCCTGCAGAAACAGCAGGGTACAGTGCACTGCTGGCAAGCTGTGGATTTGATAGGTCTGGATGGAAAACACCTGAATTAGTTCATTCCCCAAAGCCTCAGGCCTCGTAAACCAAGAGCCTGGGAGCTGGTGTGCTGGACTGAGATGCAAGAGATCCAGGTTCTAGTCACAAAGCTCCCTGGATGAAGCTGCTCACTTTCAGCCTATTGTGAGGATAACATGGAGAGGAGCAGGAGGGTGTTGTCAGCTGCCTTGGGTTCCTTGCAGGGAAAAGATGGATATAAATAAGTGTTGAGGCTGCATCTTAATCCTTTTGCAAGGAACAAAAAACAATGTGTTAACATCTGTTGCCATTTTTCTTTCCACAGGTGGGCCCAGTGGGTCCAGGGCTCATCCAGGGCCGGAATACACCTTCACTTTCCGCAGCGCCCATGATGTCTTCCGGGAGTTCTTTGGTGGGCGAGATCCTTTTGCTGACTTCTTTGGTACGTGTTCTACTTCTTAAGTTGGTATCCCTTCTGTACCATAGTGGGGTGGTCGGTGGAGGGACAGAAGGCCCTTTTCATGAGAATGTTGAGAAGAACTGTGCTGGATCAGTCCAAAGACTTGTCTGGTCAAGCATTTTGTTGTATTCCTGCTTGTATTCCCCAGTAACTGGTGTGCATTTATGGCCAGGAATTCCTAAAAGTATTAATGAAATTCCAGTTAATGACATTCTGGAGCAGCTGAAGCTCAGTGGCAGTGGTCCTGTTTTGTATTCAGGAGGTCTCAGGGTCAGATCCTGACATCTCCATGTTCAGGGAACATGAAAGGAATCCTGCCGAAAGCCCCAGCTCGCCCTTGGACTAAATTCGTCTGACTCTAAGGGACTCTTGTGTCCCTCTGTCACCTCCTGACCCTAAGGGTTTTTTTAAACAAACTTTTAAGGTATTGACAAATAATGAAACATTTCTTCATGGCATGATTGTTGCTGCTTGAGTAATACATGCCATGTTTTGGAAATCTTACCAAAACTCAAGTACTAGAGAGTGATACATTAAATTATGGGAAATTGCATTTCTGATTACATGAACTTGGATTATTAGTGATAGTCAAGGAGAGTGTTTGTTCCAAGTTTAAGCAATAGTGGAAGGGGTTGAAATTATTTTGAACAGTTCGCAAATGCTAATGATTGGAAACCCATTTTTACTATAAGGAAGAAGAAAAGTGGGTATAATATGTATAATTTGGTTGCTGTCCTTTTATCTTCTGAAAAAAACCGTAAGGCAGCCAGGTCACCCTGTGAATCCCTGCAAATCCTGGGGAAGCTGGTGACCCTGTGTTAGTGGGGCTCCTTATCCAGTGCAGTTTTGATTCCAAGCTTCATAGGAACCATCCATGGTACTGAACTCCACCTCTGAAAGAGGTTCACCACCATGGATGGCTCCTGTAAGGCTCAGAACAAAAGCTGCAATTGATAACAAGCTCCACTGACACAGAAATCACCAGCATCCCTGGCGAAATTCCTTCCAAGAAGCAAGTTAATTGTGGGCAAAAGGTTGGCCTTGGGCTTGGTTTAGACAAGTTGCAAAAGTTGTATGTTGGGCAAGGGGAAAAGCTTCCCCCTGCAAGATGGTGTTGGGAGTGCTTGGCGGCTCACCAGGCCTTCTGCTGCTAGCTGGTGGTTCTGTTGGGTCAGAGAATGGAGGCTTGGGCAGGGCAGGGCAGGGCCAGCCCCCGGGAGCATCCATAGCCCCTGCATCCACGAGCAGCACGCAGTGGGCAAGGTCTCATTCTGCCAGGAATTCCGCAGAGCTCGGGGCAGACGGGGGGAACCAGCAGGCGGTTCGCACGCCTTGAGGAGGCATCTCTCGCCGGGAGCTTTTCAGTAATAGTGGGCGATCTTTTCTTTCGATCTGTTTCTAGATGATCCGTTTTCAGATCTGCGTGGACCTGGACCCCGGCATCCTGCGGCGGGGACATTCTTCTCTCCCTTCCCAGCATCACAGGGTAAGGAAGAGACACCTGGAAGGACGCCCTGCTTGCCTCCTGGCCTCTGGCTATTTAATCTTGCTGTGTTTTGCACCACATAACTTGGTGGCTCATATATTGTCCTCTTTGTTCACCCTTGGAAGTTCAGAAGAAAGGCTTTGCTTGTCCAGCATCTTCTTTCACTTGCTGGGTCTCAGTATTTGCTTTTCCTGGTGCCCAAGCTGGCTGAACCCTCCCTGGCAAGTTATTACGGTGTTCTCTGTTGCAGAGTTCTTCACCTCTACACTTGGTCCTGGCATCAATGCCGGAATGGGCTTCCGCTCCGTCTCCACCTCCACAAGGTTTGTCAATGGCAAGCGCATCACTACCAAAAGGTAAGCCTAGCACAGCCTTTTCAGCTGCTTCCCTCTTTCTTTACCCTTTCTGCTGCCATCTCCTGGCCCTGGAGGACAGTTAAAGCCTTCTTGGAGCCAATCCATGCTGCTCCCTCCCTGAAGCCCAGCCTTCCCTTCTTGTTCATCTCTGCTTCCTTGAATTGGCACAAGGGATGCTGTGTGTAGAATCCTATGCTATGCAGCACACCCCTTCCGCACCTGGTACTCAAAGTGTTTTAACTAGAGGTGCCAGAAACTGAACCTGGGAATTCACACTGGCAGACTTGGTTGGATGCTGCCCTTCCACAGATATAGTGAGTACCACTTGCCATTGGTCAAGGGCTGAACTCTCAGCTGCTCCTTGACAGGTCACGTGGCTTGTGTGTTCAGATGCTTGAATATTTCAGGAGCCAGAGCCATAGCACTGGGCAAGTGGGGTGAAGGGAGGAGAGGAGCAAAGCCATTTGTCTCAGATCGTGGATGACTTCTTTCTTCTATCCACGTGTGATCATGCTACCTGTCATCTCAGAATTGGAAGTACAGGGTTAGGGTAGCACTCACTTTGATGAATCAGATTTGCAGTTTGGGAGCACTCAGGCAGCTGCTTTGGCCAGCGGTGCTTTTTACTAGTCCAGTTTCACTGCTCCCTGCAGAAGGTCAAAATGGTACTTGCCTTGGTCACTGCCCCACCCCCAGTTGGATTACTGCACTGTACTCTACTTGGGGCTGCCCTTGAGGAGTGTTTGATAATTTTGCCTTCTGCAAAATGCAGTGGCAGTGGGTTTAATGGGTAGAATTTGGTTGCTGTGGTATATGGAAGTGGTGCTAGTCAGTTACACTAGCTTCTGGTGTTCTTTTGGACCCAGTTAAAAGTGCTGGTTCTCACTGTATAAAGCCAGAATCTGAATGATGCTTTCTCTCAAATGAGCCTTCCTGTAGACTGTTGTCATCTTCTAAGGGCCATTAGTATGTCTCACCACACAGTGTGGCTTTGAGACAAAGCCTTTTCTGTGACAGCATTCTATTTATGGAATTCCCTCCCACGAGGTTAACCTTGTGACTTTTACAGGCAGTCAGTTAATGCTTCTGTTCTGCCTGATTTTAATTAGAGAGTTGAGATTGTTTAAACTCAGCATTATTTTAGTATGCAGCTTTAGTTCTGTTCTTACTTGAATTTGTAGGCTTTTTTGTAAAATGTAACTGTCCAGAGGGTCTGAGGAGTCAAAAGGTGGTATATTAATGTATGCACAAATAAAAAAAAATACCCTGTAGAAAATGAGAGGACTCTCTTGGCTGCCATTTGAGTTTCCCTAGCTATTAGTTGGGTATATTTGTACATGAGCACCACAGGCTTGCTTGCCTCCTTAGCTGAACCACAGACCCTGTTATGATGATCTGCTTGAAGAAATCCACCCAGTCACATGAGATTGGTCTAGAAGGAGTGAAAGACATTTCTTTGTTGTGCCATGTCTTGAAGTCCTGCTTAAAAAGTGAGCATGTGGGAAGGAGAGTTTTTAACTAATGACTCTTTCATTGGATCAGTAAAATTTTTATTATTATTATCCCAATTCTAGAGGAAAGGTGTTGCCTTGACATAGCATCGTGGTGGTATGGATTGGTTTGCAGGCCAGGCATAGTTTGTCTTTGCCCTGGCAGGTTGGGTGTGGATTGATTGTTTTTTCTCTCCATTCTCTCATGTTCACCAGGATTGTCGAAAACGGGCAGGAGAGGGTGGAAGTGGAAGAAAATGGGGAGCTGAAATCCATCCAGATTAATGGTGAGCAGCTACCAAGAGGGCTGGTCCTGAATCCCAGAACTTGATCTTCTGCTGTTATGAGAGGGTTGTTTTCTCCAGTGCAACACCAGAAATTTGAACTTTGGATACCTTCTCCGTTGATCTTAATCTCTGTCCTCAGAGACAGAGTAAAAGACCTCATCCCCTTCATGTTGTTCTCAAAGTGACATTTAATGTAATCAGGTGTGAGATGAATTTGTAAGAGATTTGCCCTCTCCAAAAAGCATTAAGTTGGTGGGGTGTCCACAGAATGGCTCCCACAATATTTAGGGCTTGGAAGGTATCTTCTTCAGCATTCTTCAGAACAGTGGCTGGAGGGAAGGGAGAGAGTTCAGGCAATGGTGGAACAACCTATTGCCTTACAAATCTTTTGCACTACTGCTCCTATAAACTCTTGCCAGTGTGGCCAATGCTCAGAGATTATAGGGGCTGCAGTCCAAAAATTTGGAGAGCACCAGGTTGCACATCCCTTGACTTGGATGCAGAAAAGACAGGAAGCAGGGGTAGGATGCAAGGCTGAGGACTGCGGGCAGGCAGAGGGAGCTGAGGGAGAAATGGGGGGAAGGCACTGGAAGGTTTTCAGACGGGCTTTTGCCTGTGGCTGTGTTCAAGATGCTGTTGCTCATGTACAGTGCAGGGTTTCAGTGGCAGCTGTCGTCTTCAGCTTTTCCATCATGGGCCCCACCCCGGCTCCCCCATTACCCTCCCCTCATCTAGGGTGTTTGGCCTGTCTGGGTGGAGCTGTGGCAGTTGCTGAGTTGGCCTGGAGGGCATTTCCAATGGTTGGCTGCATTCCTTTCCTCATAGGTGTTCCAGATGACTTGGCACTTGGCTTGGAGCTAAGCCGGCGGGAGCAGCAGGCCCTGCAGAACCGTAAGCCGCCATCTTCTCCCGTGGCGACGCCACCTCAGCGCCCGCCTCCCAAGCGTCCATCTCCCAGCTCTTCTCCTGTGATCTTGTACACGGACAGTGAGGAGGAAGACGAGGACCTGCAGCTGGCTATGGCCTACAGCCTGTCCGAAATGGATGCCAAGAGCCAGCAGCACAGAGCAGGTGCGAGAAGCCCCGCGAAAAAGCCGCTCTCCCCCGGAAAAACACAGTTGCCACAGGGGAGTCCTGCCACGGACGGCCAGGCGGGCGGGCCATCTAAGAACCCCTCGGGGGTTGTGGGAGGGGGCGAGCGGGGAAAGGGCAAAACCCGAGACTCTTCCCCCAAGAAGAAGAAGGACACGCACTGCCGCCTCCTGTGAGCAAGCCTGAGAGGGGTCTTCATTGGCCGGTGCGTTCGGGACCCTGGCCAATGAAGGAGCAGAGTTGTTCCTGGAGGACCGCTGGGATGTGTCATGCGCGGGATTGCCGAAAGGCCCAGCCAGTCGCAGCGGTGGCACTGCTGAGTAAAGGGCAAAAGCAGATTCTGTCATGGCTTACGTGTAATATGGCATGGAGAGGCGTGCAGCTCCTTCGCTTGGAAACCCTGGTGCCTTGCACAAGTTCAGACGGCATTGCCTGCCTTGCTGCCGTTTTATTGCATGGCTTGGCTGCATGGCCCTATCATTCCTCTGTATTATATGGATTTACCATGTGGTGGGAAGGGTTGTTATTGGCTGCCACTGCTTGCCCACTTCCCTGGCTCGAGCCCTGGGTGTGATGGGGGAAAAAACCTTGCTCCCGCACCCTGCTTTTGCACCAGCTTAGCCTCTTGGCCGAGTTGGCTCTCTCGGGTTCTGTTCAAAGTGTGCTGGCTTAAATGGGGTTGGCGTCACCCTGGAGCCTGGTCTCCAGATTTGCCCTGGAGCAGACAGGGAGATGGGGACCTCCTCTGCATTAACATGCTCTCTTGCCTGCTAATCCCAGGATTGTGCCTTTCTGCTTTCACAAACACTACAGTGGATGTTCCTGGTGGGGGCAGTGGAGAGGGGCAGCATGAACAGAACCTTCTTGCGTCAAGGCATTAGCAAGTGCATGCAATTGGGCCGAAGGTGGTGTCCATGGAAGGTACAACATAGTGAGTCAGAGCAGATTCCAGGAGGGCAAAGTGTCAAAGAGGGTACAGCCTGAGAGTAATACTGGCAGGCAGCCCATCCTGCTCGTACTCCTCCCACTCCCCCCGCAACTCAGACTGCTGGTGCCCCAATGTAACTGGAAAGGCATGCCCTCTCTCCAAGTGAATGCTGGATTAGAGCAACTTTCTCTACCTGCCGTGGCAACGGGCCGTGGAGCACCTACACCTTTGTCTCTGTGATTTACCAAGCGCATGACTTCCCCCGCTTGCAGACCCAGCTCAGCCATTGCCTGCCCTGATCCCTGCTTCTTGGTATCTTGCAGCAATCACATACTTGTGCTGTAGTCTCAGCCCCTGCACCTGTTTGCCTGAGAGGGTCTGGAAGGTTGGCTGGGCCTCTATCACCCTGTGTCGCCCCCCCCCCCCCCCCGTGGCAAGCCCTGGATAAGGCTTCGGTGGATGCTTGACGTAGGAATGTAACTTGTTGGTGCCCTCTTTTTCTTTCTCTGCTGCCGCTGCTGCTTGTCTGCTCACCTGCCCATCCCTCCCTTCTGTGCTACCCATGCCACAGACCCTGATGGACAGGCATATTCTGTCTGATGCCCCTCCATGCTGCCTCCCTGCAGGTAACCCTCAAAACATTCATTTTACCTCATCAGTTGAAAAGGGCAGAACTCTTCAGGAATGTTTAATAGCAGGGCTGTGTATATTGCTTGCATCCCTGGCATTTGCCATACAAGAGAACCTGTACGTTGCCCCCACCCCGGGCCTTCTTTAAAGGGAGGTTTTGGCTGCCAGGATGCATTGATTACCTGTGTGTACTCCCCTTCATTCTCTTCTGTCACATCCATTGAAAACTGCCTTGTAGATTCAAGAAGAAAACTACCCCATGGAACAAATACTATGAGCTTAATTGCATTCTTGTGGCTGCAGATCTTAGGTTGTTTGGTTGCAGTATGTTAATCTGGGTTGTGGGCATCTATGAATATACACAGCCCTGATGATTTTGCTTTGTGGAAAACAACCTGTCCCTTACTCTACGCATGTGCTGCCCTGCAGACCGAGTTCCCGGTCCCTGCCCCTTTCTCAAGGAAACGCCCACACCGCTTACCCTGTGTGGGGAGAGATCTAATCCAGAGGGTGAGGAAGTGGCTGCACCCTGTGATGGTAGCCTAGGAACTGGTTCATTATGAACTTGAGTTGTTGCAATGTCTCTGATTCAGGGGTGGGTGCTGAATATAGGTAGGGGAAATACTGGTTGCTCCCCAGGTGAGCTGCAAGGATTTCTCACTGGCAGTTGCTTAAGAACAGCAACAACACAATGGACCCCTCCTAAATTATGCTGCTAATAGAAGGAGCAGTGGTTGCATTTTTGCATGGAGGAGGGCTACTCCAGTTCTGATTCTTGGCATAAATCCCTGGGTTCAGAGTCACCCAATTCTAAGTGAGGCTCCTCTTGAGGTTCTAGGAAAAGAAACCAGAGTGGATCCTGTGTGCCTGGATGGTGTCCACTCTTGCTGAATTCCTAATAACTTCCACAGATGCGCTTCATGTGGAACTGAGCAAAGGCTGAAGGGTTGTGGTGTGTTTCCACGGGTGAAAAGGAGGGATCAGGCTGCCTAGGCGGGAGAATGCCTTGAAAAGCCTTTAGGCTACTACTTGGAGGGAGAACCGGCTATAGGTAACAACCATCAAATGTGGGTCGGTGGGTTGAGTCGGCCTTGTCCCTGCACACACCGCAGGGCCCACCCTCTCTATCAGCACAGCTCCCGCCCATGTTCGCTCACCGTGCCTGAGGTTCGGTGGGTAAGTGGACTTCGTCCATTGGAGGACAGCATCCCAGGGCGGCCAAAGGCCCTGTGCCCATGTCCCTCCTCAGGGCAGTTTGCCGCAGAGCCCTTGCGCAGTGTCAGTCCTGTAGCTGGGAAGGCTGCTGCGCATCGGAGCCACGGGCTGTTCTTGTGTGTGCATTCCTTACACTTTGCATGCTCTGGAGCACCTCTTCTTTCCCACAGTGCAGAACAGTGCCTCTTGCATGGGTATGTGGCAGCCATGCCTTGATGCTCAACCCACCAACTCCCCCTTTCCAGTTCGACACCTAGAATAAGCTGTAGGAGGGAGGCCCGTGCTCGGCGGAGCTGTCCTTGCGGGCAGCAGGGGAATGTGCGAAGGCCAGCCACTGCTTGCTGTCACCTGCTTCTCACTGCTGTCTGATTCACTTGGATGTCTGTGTTTTCTCCACTCCCCTCCCTCCTGTCCTGTCTCCTTGCTTGTTTCCCCAGGTGTGTTCTGAGTCTGGAAGAGCCATGGGGATTGCCTCTCTAGCATTCGTGCCCACAGAAGGCTACTCAAGCCTGGACTTCGCTTTCTCTTCCCTTCTCAAGCCCTGCCTGGGGGGGACTGGCAGGGGCCGAGTGTGCACCTTCCTCCCCATTAGCTCTCTCTGCTGCATCTCATGTGGCACTTGCTAGCTCACGAAGGCCGGGTTGGGCTCAGCCTGCCTGCTGTCCGAGCAGCCCTGCTGCATCTCCTGAGTAGCACCAGGGAGGAGTGCATCTGGTGTGTAGTTCCCCGTCCCCAGTGCCCGCCCTCCCTCCATGTAAGAGGCGATCCTGGCCGAGGAGTGAAACGGACTTTGCTGTGAGGGTGCTCGATGGCCACCTGTGCGGTGGGGGTCCCATAGGGCCTGTGATGGGTGTGGAGGGCAAGATGCACCTCTTGAGCATGGCTGCACTGTGCGTGTTGATGGTGTTACATGGGCATGAGGTGGGTGTTGGAGGGCGGCAGCAAGGGCGAGCGGCTTTTCGTCCCATGCCAGGGCATTCCCTTTCTGTGCGCTGGCATCCCGATGCTCCAGAGAACCAAGGGCTATAAACCAAATTCCCCCTGTGAGCAGCAGGGACTCTTCCAGACCGGGCCTTGCAGTGTGAGGGTGAGCACGTGGCAATCTGCCTCTTCTGCCAGCAAAGAGAGGGCTGTGGCTCTCTCCCCTCCCCCCCCCCGCCCCCTTCCTGTGGCAGGAAAATCCAGGGCTGCAGTAAACATGTCTGTTACTTAGAAGAGTGAAAGTGGTCTCTTTTCTAACTCAAAGTGATTGCCCAGTATAGAATGGAAGACATTTATCAATAAACCTCTTTGCAATTAATAGTGTGTCAGGAAAATCTCTGAGAAGGGCCTGGGAGGAACTGCATGAGCCTTTGTCATGGGATGTGTTTTTAATAAAGTTGAAGTACATGAAACACCTAAGCAGGGAAACCAGTATCCCCGTCCCGAGAACATGTTGTCTTGCTCAAGGGTGGCTGCAATGTATTAAATCCAAGTATAGTGTAGAAGCTGTTTTCTTGCCCTCCCCTCATCCATGATCCCTCTTGTGGGAATTAATGAGGATTATTTTGCAAGGTATTCTTTTCATGTAGTTTAAAACTGTAACCTTAGAGTAAGCCTCACGCAGGGGGACTTAACTACAGCAAAAGCACAGCTCCATGAGCAGAGAATACAAGTATTTCTAACTTAGGCTGGTGGGCCCTTTCTGTGTGCTTTGAAATACAGTGTGGAACAACCAAAGGGTGTACTTAAGATGCAAGAGCTCAGCTTGGGGAACATCTTGTAAACTTCCTTCTGCTCTTTGCTTCAGCAAATCCTAAGGCAACTCAGAAGCTGTTTATCCTTGTGTGTGTGTTGGATTCTTCATCCCTCCAGCAGGCATGGCTGTTCCATAGCTCTTGGAATTATTGACACACAGAGGGGAAGAGGCTTTGAAAGAGGTTCATGCATGGACTAGTCTACCTGCTTTCCCTAACCCGACTCCTTCCAGATATTTGGAGAAGAGTAATTGCCATCTTTCCATAGCTGGCACTGTCATTGGCTGTGCTTGCTGGGATTCTAACACATCTGGAGAGTCTCTGGTTGGGGAAAGCTGAGCTACATCGTTACCCCTCTTAAGGGGCTCCTTGCAAAATGTGGGAAGGATTCCCAATTGGAGACATCACCTGGACCCTCCCCCCCCCCCCCGGTAAAATCCTGAGAGTGAAGGAGGGAAATAGCATAAAAAGCACCTCATTTGGAAGCACCCCTTGTGAAATGGTATCCCTACCCTTCAAGGGAGGGCTTTAGAGTGAGCAGAGGGCTGCATGTCTCCAACATTACCTAACAGGATCTGGACGCTGGTTCATCGTTTGCAGACACCTCAGCTGGAGTCGGTAAGAACTTTCCCCTCCTCCTTGGTTATACATAACATGGTTAGGCCGGGCTGCAGCTGCACAAATGCGACACAGAAACTTTATTCACATCAAATACAAAATTAGATTCTCTAGAAATGTCTCTTGGTGTAAGTAACAGGGAGACAACACAGTGGGGAGCAGCTATAGGGCCATCTCCCCCATGGATCACCCTTCCTGCCCCCCACAAGCTTTGCACGAGGGACAGCACTGCTGAAGCTGGGCTGGGTCCAGGGCTGCAGGTTTGCAGGGGCAGCAAGTAGGGGAGAAACAATATCCCTTTCCCTGAAGTGGCCTGGTGGGCAGCCCAAAAAGTAATTACAGGGGGTGGCATTGGTCTTGCAGCTTGTGACTGACCACTTCCCTGGGGCCAAGCAGCTTTCTGTACTGGTGGAAAGAACATGAGCTATCCAAAGTCCACACCATCCACCTTTGTAGAAGGAGACCAATCTACACTGGCTGTAAACACAAGGCTGGTAATCCTAAGCCTATGGATTTTCCCATGAGTCTAAAAAGGCACATCTTCTCTACCTTGAATTGAAGTCCCTGGATTGCTGTGTATGTTCAGTACACCAGGAATGGACAGAAAGTTCTCCAGCTCTTTTGGAGGTGTGTGGGAGAGAGCGATCCTGTAGCACCTAGACATTGTCGCAGGAGCACAGGACCCTTCAGATTCCTGTATCCAGGGTCAGCTCTCCAGCCTTGGAGTGGGAAAATTAGGATTAATTCTTCCTCTCCTCCCCACCTGCATAGAAAGAAGCCCATCAACTACCACTGCAAGATCAAACTATGACCTTGATAGGCCTTGTACCCTTAGACTCCCAGCATTCCTGGTTATTGACAATGATGGGGCTTCTGGGAATTGAATTCCCAAACATCTGGAGATCTAATTCCTGTCGGCCCCTGTACTAAAAAGCTTACTTGCTTCTGGGAGTGAAAAGTAGAAAAGGAGCCACTTCACATCAACCAAGAGTTAATTCCAGAGGAACCTGGTTAGGGTAGGACCCACCGCCATGAGGAGAATTTGATGAGCAATGAAAGAGACCCAGTTGGGCAGAAGGGTGAGGGGTAGTGTCTCCACAGGTAGCGTAAATGCAGCCATGGCCAGTAACATGGAATTGGGACTCGATGAAGGGAGGACGCCCCGAGGCAAGGACACAGCGCAGCAGAGGCAAAGGTCACGCTGGGGAGTCACCAAGCTGGGTATGCTGTGTGCGGTATCACTGTGGCAGCGCCTTCAGGATGGCGTTCACCTCCTCCGCCACAGCTGTCAGCGCAAACTCAAACTGGTCCTGGGGGACACAAAAGCAGGTTCTCAAAATGGCACAGGCACACGCAAAATTAACGTGAGTCTCGGCATCCCCCTCCTTCACATTCCCAGCCTGCCTTCCTCTTCCGCAGCCAGAAGATCTCCAGCTGTGTTAGACTTCAGCTTCCAGCATTCCTAGCCTTTGGCCATGCTGGCAAGGACTTCTGGAAGGCGACGTTCCAAGCATCCAGAGGTCTACCCTCCCCATTAGCTATGCTGTCTGGGGCTGATAGTCAGGGTTGGGATGAGCCCTAGTGGAATCCTTTCCTCTAGCGTTTGCAGACTTCTTGTGCTCGGCTCAAGACGCAAGCTGAGCCAACAGGAAGTCCACGAACACTTGCAGGATGAAGGTTGTGCAAGTGGCAATTTCCTCCTGTGTTGGGTGCAGCAGCACAAAAGGTGCTGCAGGTGGCACAGAAAAGATGCTGCTTGTGCAGGGATCATGTGCAGCTCCATTCCGGGGCGAGTCCTGTGCAACCAACCTCCTCCTGCATCAGGTGCAGCCACCTGGACAGCTGCTGCGGGAGGCAAAGAAGAGACGCTGGATTCTTAGCAAGCACCCTGTGTGAACACCGGCATGCTCGCCAGGAATGTGGACTCGTGGCTGTTGCAAAGAGGACTGGAGCCCTGGGAGCTGAGTTCAGGGAGTCCAGCCCATTCCCATTCACAGATCACTAATGGCAGGTGCAGTTCAACACCATCTAGAGGGCCACACATTCCGCACCCTTCCCTTGCAGCAATGTGGCTGAAGGTATTTGAGTTCTTTTGACTTGAGTCCCCACCCAGTAAATCATGAAGACCAAGGCCAGGCGACTCTCTTGGCCGAAATATGCTCCCACCCACTACTATGCTCTCATGCACAATATCTGCTTCTTGAGATAGTTTTATCTTGGCCTGCACCTCTCTGCCTGCCAGTCCTCCCCACGGTGTATTCTTCTCCCATGCTTAAAGCTGCCTGCATGTAGTTTGGTTCTCGCACCAGTGCCAACCCGCAGCGGACGCCTCCAAAGACCCGCATGGCAGTCTCCATCTGAGAAAAGGGGAGTATCGGAAAGTACCTTAGTCTGCACCATGCCGGGTCGTTGATCCCGCACATGCTCCAGGGTGGCTGCAATATCAATCTCCTTCACACCTAGGAAAAGTACAGGCAGAATGTGGTGAAGGGCAAAAAGCAGTGGAGATGGTGGAATGTGGAAACAGATCAGGGTAGATGCAGAGGAGGCAGAAAACCACTAAAACAGTGGCAGGCAGGCAGGCTGGAGGCTCTTGAGAATTATTTTGGTGACATCGGTGTGTGTATCTGTGGACTTGGCCCTCCTGAAGTGGGCAGACTGCATGCAGGGGTGGCCCTGTAGATTCCGCTTTCATCCCCTCACCTTTGGCCATCCGGTTCAGAACCATGTCGATAAGGATGTATGTGCCGGTCCTTCCTGCACCATCACTGCAAAAGATAAGGAGATCGTTATCCTGGAGCAAGCAGGGGCCCTCCCAACCCTGCAAGGATCTGCTGCTCTTCTCAGGGGCTCTGTTAACACCCTTTAGCTCCATTAGCAGGGATGACTGAGGATGCTTCAGTTGTGTAAGCCCTCCGTGGCCCCTCAGCAGAAGACATGCCCTTCCGCCTGCCTTACCTCCGCAGGCTGGGGCTCCCACAGCCTCACCACGACCCCTCTGCTAACAGGTTAATCCCCCACCCGTCCCCATGCCCCGGGGCTTTACCTGCAGTGTACGACGACTGGGCATGAACGGCCCCGATAGCACTTGTTCACCTTCCTGCCAGGACAAGGAAAGGTTGGGATCAGAGCGCAGCCACATTTGGGGTTCCCAGGGAGGAGGCCCTGGCGGGTCATGCTGGTTAAGCACCCTGCCCCTCCCAGCTCAACAACGGAAGAATTTGAAAAGGGGGAGTGAGGGGGCCCTCGGTGAACCAAAATGGTTCCTCTCCTGCAAGCAGCAGCACAGAGGAGTGTGATAAAGTCTAGAAACGGGTGCTACAGGAGCTGCATTAAGTGTGTGTGCGTGCGGGGGGGGGGAGCTATGTCTTCTTTTCAGTTACCCTGCACCAGATCAGAAGACCTGCACCTACTCTAGAGTAATAATGAGATGGCATAGCTGCTAGCCATACATTTGATGCAAAGTCTGCGCTGGTCTTCACACACCAAAACAGATCCAAAAGAGACACAAACTCTCCAAGAGGCTGTGGAGCCTAGAATGCTTTCCACAAGAGAAAATGCCCCCCTTTTCCCTCTCCCCAGCTGGCTTCCCAAAACCCCAAATATGGCAATTTTCACATTCACTTTAACACATAGGAGCCTTGGGCCCCGTGGATATTCTCAGTCCCCTGTCTTAAAACATGGAACCCCCACCCACAACTGCTGTGCAGAGAACCCTGTTCCCCCGAAGGACTCTGGGCCAGAGATAGCAGCTGGTTGCAGGGGGAGTCTCTCTCTGGCCCCGGTGGACAAGGGCGATCGGAGGTGGAATGAAGAAGGTGGGGCACGAGAGCAGCCGGGGCCCTGTCCTGTTCCATGCAGCCGGCACAGCGGCCAATGATCACTTTTGTGACTATGCAACTGGGCCAGGATTACTAGCTGCAAATCACAAAAATGACACTGGCGGCTATGAGAGAGAGAGAGAGAGAGAGAGAGAGAGAAGGGAGGAGGAGGAAGAGGAGAAGTGGTGGTGGTGAAGGAAAGAGAGCATGGCATAATGCAGGCAAAGAGGGAAAACCTGGCAGCACTCCACAGGGTGCTCCCCACAAACAGCTTTACAGAGGAAGCAGCCCCAAAGGGCAGCAGTGGGGAGGAAGGGGGAGTGCAAGCTCAGATCCTCTTGGATTTCAGCTTGCTGGGTGCCCATGCGCGCTGGGGTCCCAAATGCCACGGACCCCACATGGTGCGGGAAGCTTAGAAGGCAGAAGAAATCCTTACACCCTGGGCCATCAGGGTCCTCTCTGCACCCTACCATTTTCGAAGGACGAAGCCACAAACAGTGGTTTTTTTTCTAACAGTCCCCGAAACGCACCGTGGTGAGGTCACAAGCTAGAAATGCCTCTCGTAGCAGCTGCCTGGTAAGATAAAAACAGCCCCACATCCGCACCCAACACCAGCCTCCTCCACCACAGATGCCAAGTCAACAGGAGTCCCCTAGCAGGGGAGGATGGGTGGATGCAAAAAGAGACAATGTTTATCGAAGGGGCACATGGGAGGGACAAGACATGGGGATAAAACAGGTTAGAATAATTATGAAAGCAGGCACTCCACAACTGAGCTCTAGATAAGGAAAGGCGCCCACTGTTCTTCTGAAATTTCTTCACTTCTTTTGCCCCATCAGTGTGTTTAGTCACTGGGCCTCATGAGACTGCATGGTGGGGGGAGGAAGGCAAGACACCAAGCACAGCTGAAATCGAGCCCTTCCCAATTGTTGATCCTCAGGCACCAGGAAACATGCAAAGTAATGGCATATTTGCACCAATGATTTGTTTACATAAGGCATCCAATTTCGGCATTCCCCAGTCTGATGCCCTCCAACTGTGTTGGGGCACAGCTCTCAACACAGAGCCACAGCCAGCATGGAGAAGGGTGTCCCCCTAAGTTTTGCCAGGCTTTTGGGGCTGGGCTGCCATTTCATGCTTAAGTTGAGGTGGGTGCAAGGTTCAAAGCATGGCTCAGAAGTCCCACTAACTTGCTTTTACTGCATGGATTAAGAGCTTTTGTCACATTCAAGCATGTTTACCTCCTAATCAAATGCAACTGGTCTTAAAGAGGGAAGCTGACCCTCTGCCACTCTCCCTAAATGGCTTCCCTTTTGAAATGGGCCAGATTCAGAAGGATTTCTCTCATGCACCTCCTCCAACTATTATTCAAGTGTCCCTGAAATCATTAAACACTTTCCTTGGCTTTGGGGTGTTTATCCAGACTCTCCTCAAGTATGCCTCTTCTGAAGCCTACATTTCCCCCAAACCATTGCACAAATATGGGATGCCCACGCTAGTGGAGACTGCAGAAACAGCGACTCTCCTGTGAGTCAATAATAATGCATTTGAGGTGCAGAAGCACAGGCCAGAGAGCTCTGAAATTTGCTAGAAAAGTCTAATCCCCTTTACACCAGTCACAAGTTATTTGGTGTTTTCCCAGCTTTTGTGATTTTTCCTCATTCTAAAAGGTTGAGACAACCTCCTCAGTCTTAGTTATTGGTAATAAGAACCTTGAGCTAAAATATCCAGTTATTTTGGGCCTTTGGACTCTGTCCATCACTGGAATGTGGACCCCAAGAGCTTCTCTGAGATAGAGTTTGGCCTTTGGACAGAAAGTGGTTCAGCCAGAGCTGAATTATCCATACAGCAGGGATGGGGAATGTGTGGCCCACCAGGTGATGCTGGACTGCAGCTCTTACCATCCCTCACTATTGGCTATACTGGCTAGGAGTGGTGGGCATAGAGGGCCACACATTTCCCAGCTGTGCCACAGAGCAAATTCCAGGGTGTGCTGTATTTTCCAGTTGCTACAAGGATTTCCAACAGGACTGGACATGCCTTAAAAAGGCAATATTCCAGCGATGCTCAAAAGAAAACCATTGCATATGGCACCAGTACAATGTGCTTTTGAACGGGACCTTGTAAGAACTGTGTGATGTTGTTCTTGGCTCCGCAAAAAGACCTTGGTGGTTGCCTGATGGCCTTGGAGCAGCAGAGAAAAGAGAGTGCTTGAAGCTAAATAAGCACTCTCCATATTGTCAGGCTGGCAGTGGGGAAAAAAGGAGTGGATGAGAGTTATGAGCCACTATGTGGGATCCCAAATTATGACCCATGATCTCTGTTGAATTTAGTTGGTCCTTAAGAGAACAACAGGTAAATTAAAAAGGACGCTGCATCACTCGCTGGGTGCCTCCTGCTTCAAATTCATTCATGCATATATTTTGTACCGCAAGGGGACACTTTATGCATCCGACAAAATGGGCTACAGTGCACCAAAGCTTATACCATAATAAGTGTTAAGGTTCTAGATGTCACGAACCCCTCGGTTGTTTTTGCAGCTTCAAATGTCTCCCTGGCACGGTGGTATCTTGTTCCCCCTGTTCCCAAGAGTCACAAAACAGACTTACTTGTCATTTTCTTTCCGGGTTGCTGCTCCTTTCCCCAGAAGGCCTCCTATCACTGGCCTGGGAAATCTTTCACCAGCCATGCTTTATCATACCAGAAAAGGTTTTTACAGGTGGGCATTACCCATTTTCTGGAATTCAGCCAAAGATTGCGTTCGTTCCCCGACCCTTACACCAGGGATTGTGTGCCACAGGCCACCCTGACATCTCATCCTGTTACTGGGGACAGAGCAAGGGTGGAGGGAGAATCCCACACCTGCGGAAGTCGAGAAGAGGCCGTGCGGTGGTGGGGATGCCCTCTGCTGGCCAGCTCAGGAAGTGGAACTGTGTCAAGGTCCGTGTCTCCTGGGACTGCACATTCTTCAGGTAGAAGCTGCGCACCAGGAAATCCTCACACCAGATGTGTTCTGAGACCAGGTTCACCTGGATGAAGATGGCAGGGAGGCAGGGAGGGTGGGTGCAAGAGGAGAAAGAACAATGGGACACTGCCAGCTTCTACTCTTCTGTTAAGAAAGTACCGGCCATCTAAGCCAAACACACCCCATTGCCAGCTTACTTTCCAGTTTCTCTCTACTTTTACTCTTCTTCAGTTAGCTACAGCTCCTCCCCTGCTGTTCTGCAAGTTGCTAGAAATGGACAGTGCATGCGGGAAAAGAGGAAGACCAGCCTGACATGGAAAGCATAGTTGCAAGGTTGACCAGAGTGGCCACAGTCAGATCCTATAGAGCTTATCAACATCACAGGTTGGCAGCAGGTAGATTGGGATCTACTAATGGGTCTTTGGATGACCTGCTGTAGATCAGCAAGAGTGTCTGATCCCAGCAAGCTGAAAAGCAGCAGCGACATTGCTTTCTCCAGCGAAATTAGGCTGCTGAATGGAGGAAGCTTGGGGTAAGCAGGAGGAGATTTTTGTGTGAAAGGATCATGAACTCAAATCGTTTATGGTTCTAAAAAACCAAGTCATAGGCTCAGGGTATCCTGTTCTTTACTCATTATATCTTTTGCACCTGGCTCTGATTGGTGGATCTCAGGGATCAGGTAAAAACAAAGCAGAACCCAAACACCAGAGATCTAGCCTCCTGTGATCTACTCCACCAGGATTCACAGTTTGTGTCGCTCTCATTGGGCTGCTAACCTGGAGTTTTCCCAGGTACACACGGCCCTTGCAGAACTACTTTTGGTCAATCACATCACTTTCTCCTCAACTGAACAGAATTACAAATCATGTAGAATGGTTAAGGCATTCGTTCTGGGAGGACCAGTGCCTTAATCCTGCAGGCGGTGGCATAATTTCACACACAGCTGCTCTCAAGCATGAGTTTTCTCATGCTGTTTGCACATGAAGGACTGTTACATTGCTTTAGGGCTTGGGTGGGTGATGCCACTGGAGAAGGGGGCTAGCTATCCAGGCTCCGCAAAGGGATGGCTGCTACAGAAGGAGGAGGCTGAAAAGAAGGAAGGAAGGAAGGAAGGAAGGAAGGAAGGAAGGAAGGAAGGAAGGAAGGAAGGAAGGAAGGAAGGAAGGGAAAGGCTCCATATGAGAAGCTTTTCTGTGCAATACTCCCTCTCAGCCGGGAGGCAGTGTAGGGCTGGTGGCTATAGCTCAGCAGCAAAGCAACTGCTTTGCATACAATTCCCAGCATTTCCATGGAGGGCTAGGAAGAAATCCTGCCTGAAACTTAGCAGGCTGCATCTGGCCACTCTGAGGGCCAAATATGGCCCATGGATAGCTAGCTGCTCATATTCATCTTTAGGTAAAAAGGGAAGCCAGTCCGGATTCCCTGAGCTCGGAGGGGCCATGTAAATAGGAGACTGAACCAAGTTCAGGGACATTGTTATCATCAGTCAGGGACACAGAATGTTAGTCCCAGGGCCCCAAAATGGCTGGCCTGAAGTCCACTCCAGCCGACCTGGGATTCCCCAGAAAGCCATTCTTCCTTTCTCCAACTGCTGATTTTTTGGGGTAGTTTCCCAACTGTAGCATGGCTTCTCTCACATTCTACAAGTTGGAAATGCCTTTCCTAAGTCTTAGTTGCTAGCAGTAAGAGCTTTAATCTCAGGTATGCGGCAGTTTGAGTGTTGTTGATACTGTGGCCCCTCCCCTTTATCCTATAGCCCCACCCACCCAGGCGCGTGGCCCTCATTTCCTTCTCGGAAACTGGATTTGGCCCTGTGGCTGAAAGAGGCCTGGTCGTCCTGCCCTGAGACAACTATGGCAGCCAAGCAGGCCGTTGGGGTACCTGATGATCTGGCTCACCTCGTAAATGTGGTAAAGCGAGGAGCCCTCGTCAGGCCAGTAGCGGTCACACTGCTTGACCCCGTCTTCCACCAGCGGGCTCAGCATCACGATGACTGTGCAGCCGTTCTCCCATACCATCTGAGGCACAAGCAACAGGCCTTAGCACAGCTCGGCCCCTCAAAGAAGACCCCCTCCCCAGACCGAAAGAGGGCAAAATCAACATCGGAGAGGAAGGGTGGGTGGCAGCCGTGCCCAGGTGGACACCAGGCATGGCTGAGGTCAGATGCTTTTGCCACGCCAGAAGCAAAAAGCAGAGGCCCGCTTCAGCTTCAGTCACGCTCCAGGCCGAATGTGGATGAGCCCAGCCTGAAGCCTACCTCAGGGCTGTGTGTGTGCCATACAACCATAGCTACAGCTGATGTGGGCACAGGATTTAGCATACTGGAAATCTTTGCTTCCATTTAAAACAATGTGGAAAGCTAGAATTTCCATCCCTTGTGGTTGCAGAGGGCAGCTTATGGGCCTGGTCTAGTCAAATGTGGGATTTGAAGAGAGAGGCACAGCAGGACATTCAGTAACTGGGCTTCAGTCTCTGTGTTGCTCCTTCTGCCACCCCCCGCCCACTCTGCATCACCATCACATGCCACTTTCCCATGCTAAATTTTTTGCTCAAAGCAGGCAGCATCAGAAAAGTGCACACAGTACACTCCCATTCCTAGCAGAAATAAAATAAAATTATACAAAGCATACTGAGGAGCTTTGCCAATATGGATCACTATTTGCCATTTCTCGGTGTGGACCATACGTCACGCCGCCCTTAGCCTCCAACAGCTTTCCTACCTTGTGGCTCTCCAGATCTTTAGGAATGCAACTCCCAGGATTCCTGATCATTGGCCATGCTGGCTGGAGTTCATGGGAGTTGAAGTCTGCAGCATTTGGAGGGCACCAGGCTAGAAAATGCTGGTGTTCTCTTAGGCAGCGCTGGAATAGGTTCCCACATGCCAAAGTGCAGGGAACAGAAGGTAGCTCTCCAGGTGCTTTGGACTTCAACCCAGCAACTGCTGCCAACATGACCAATGATCAGGGGTGTTAGGAGCCAAAGTCCAAACCATCTGGAGGTCTACTTTCTGTCCACCCATTGGTACAGGCCTCTCTGCATGCCAACCCTCAGGAAAGCTTGTCTTCAGTCAGTTGGGGCTCACCTGCCAGAAGTCAGCGATGGTGTGGGAAAGCGGCCCCTGTGTGGCAATGTATGCCGGCATCCGTGGATCATGGTCAATCTGCAATGGAAAGAGTGTGCATGGAAGGCTTCCTGAACAGAGTGGGTAAAGCAGAGCTAGGGACAAGAGAGCAGCCTCAAGAGGCCAGGAGGCGGCGTCTTGCTGGGGACCTGCTACTAGCTTTCCTTAACCTGTAACCTTCTGGTGCTGGACTATGACTCCCACCATCCACTCACAGCATGTCTCTTGGCCACACCTCCTGGGAGTGATGGGGTGTGTAGTCCAGCATCTGAAGGCACCCAGTTAGGAGATGCTGTTCAGCACTGGTCATTCTTGCAGGAGTTCTTGTGGCAGTGCAACCACCAGCCTTGGAGGTGCCCCCAAATTGTGAGCAATAGAAACTGTTCCTGTGACATCTTACTGCCTGCCCCCCCCCCCATCCACAAACAGGGAGGCAGACAATCAGCCCACTTTCCAAATATATTAAATTGGAGGTGGAATAAAGAGAGCAATGAGAAGGAAGAAATCAAAGGCAGCGAGCCCCAAATCTGTAGTGATCCAGTGTACATGTTTTTCAAACTCTGTCGGTAAAGAACAACCATGGGTTGTTTCTTCACTCCCCAGCAAGTCACAATTCCAGATTGGGACATCAGCATCAACAACCTGGGTATGGCGATCCCTGCTGGTTTTTTTCAGTTCAGTGGGAGCAGGTTGCCTGCTGGTTCATGATGCTTTTTTAAACCACCCACTGGTTTAAACCGCTGTGATACACAAACTTGCCCACTACTGGTTGCACAATGCTATTCTAGGCGCACTTTTAAAATATCCTTATTGAAGGTTGAAAGAAATGTAAAACTTCTGCCCAGGAAGAAAGATCACAGTTTGAAGAGCAGTTGGGTTTTGCGAGTGGAACAGATGGTGTCCAACTGGGACGTGCCAGACTTCGCACCAAGAAGCGAGGAAATGCACCTGATTCTGGAAGGCAGGTGAGAGACAGTGGCTGGAGGGCTCTGACTCTTTCCCCACCTTGGCAGCACTGGAAGGTCATGTCCAGTAAAACAAGATGGTTGAACTCAGCTGAAGAGCTGCTGGCCGGGGAATGGGGAGGGGGCTCTTCTTCTATTTCTGGAGAGCTGTGGGGGGGAGTCATGGGGGATGCCACTTACAAGAGAGCAGCAGGTGTTGCTGGGGCTGAGAAAGCAACTGCAAGAGGCGCTCTCTTAGGGGGCAGCCAGGCAGCTCTCAGTGGGCTCAAGAGAGCAGTGGGATTTCAAGGGTGCAGATCTGAGCACCTGCCACTCACAATCGGGCTGGCATTGATGAAGTCGCTCCGGGATGGGTTGCTCTCTGCCTTCAGCTTGATGCGCGCATGGTCATCTGGGAACAGCAGAAAGAGACGTGAGCCCCAAGGAAGCACCCCCCCCCCCACTGGTGCAGAGAATCCCAGGGGCTATTCTGCACCTCAGCACTGTGGATGCAGCACTTCTCAGGGAGCAGGAGCCTTTGCCCACCAAGAGCTGCAAGTTTTCCACCACACAATCAGGTGTTAGGCCAGGCTGGGGAACATGTAGTCTTCCGGATGTTGTTGGCCTGCAAACCCCATCAGCCCCGGCCAGCATAGCCGATGCCCAGGAATAACAGAACTTGTAAACCAACAGCAAGTGAAGGGCTCCATGTTTCCTGTCCCTGTTTTAGGCAATAAGCCTTCGCCTTCTTTCCAAGGTCCTGCCTCCTGGGAGCCTTGCCAGCAGGAGTGCTGGGAAGAAACCCACCCTAAGCAGCCCGGGGCAGTGGCTTCCAGGCACTCACAGGGCACGTAATCCGGGCTCCGAGTCTTTTTGATGTTGGCTTCGTGCTGGGCAGCATCGCAGGTATTGGGCTCAGCCTGGTAAGCGCACAGAGCTTGCCACTCCTTGGCTAACCTGTCACGATTGCGCAGATGGTCCTCCATGTAGGCCTGCAGGGAGCAAAGGTGCAGTGAGCCCTAAAGGCATCCACTTGCAAGAAAGAGATTGTGTGTGATGTAAGGGGGCTGCTGACATCTATTGGTCTACATCATCGTCATCGTCGTCGTCATCATCATCATCATCTCTGCTTCCCATGGGAAACCCAGAAGCAGAACACGTGTGCTACTGCAGCCCCCGACAAATGGCATTCACCTCTGATCAGGATGAATAGCCACTAATTAATAGCCACTAATAAGTTTGTCCAATCCCCTTTAAAACCCATCCAAATTGGTGGCTATAACTATATCCTATGGAATCACATTCCATAGTTGAACTATGTGTGGTGTGAAGAAGCGTTTCTTTTCATCAGTCCTGCATTGTTCACCAATCTGTTGTTGTGGCTGACCCGGGCTTCTTGTATGATGAAAGGGAGAGAAAAAGGTCTCCTGATCCACTTTATCGGTATCTCTTTCTTGTCTTCCGTTACTCACTTTTGCCTCCATGGAAAGCCAAGGTAGGAAGGGCACTGCTGCACCTGGCAATTAGCAAAGTTGGAGGAGACAAGAGGCCCACCAGGAGTGCTGCCACCACATCACCTACCAGGTTGTCATTTTACTATACAGGTGTGTAGATATGGCATCTCTTGCTATTGGAAAGCTGTCTCTGAAAAGCTGACACATGCCTGTCTCTCTGCACATAAGGTGCAGCCACCAGCTGGTGGAGAAACAAGACCCAGGTGGCTGGGCCTTGGGGGCTGTTCCCAGGGCTCTGGAAGGGAGCTTGGGCTGGCGTCCCCTTTATTGTCCTTCTACCAACAAAGATGTCCTATTCAGGCAGGCCCCTGTTTGGGACGTAAGCTGATGAGTCACTCAGAGGCTGCCATTCCCTTGTTATCAGAGTGCAGTGACTTGCTTTGATGTTCTGTTTCAATCGAGATTCTGTTTTCGGTCTCCTTAATTGCTGTGAGGCACCTACTCTGCCAGTCTGGGTGGCACGGCAGGAGATCAGCTAAGCAGAAAAACTGCTATGCCTCACCAGAATCATGTGCCCAGTGGAGATGTCCATGTTGGATTGCACGGGCTCCTCGCACCAGGACGGCGTGCTGCTGTGGGAGCTGGGGCTGGCCTGGGGCGCATCGCTGAACTGTGAGGAGACGCTGCTGACACGGGAGTTCTCTGCCGGGGCGGGGGGCGGGGGCGCCTCTGCCCGGCCGAAGAGCGACTTGGCGGCCATGTGCTGCCGGCAGAGCTCCTGTGGGAAAGACGCAGCTGCAATGTGGTTGTCGGCCAGGTGCTATCTTTAGCTTATTGATTCATGACCTTTCTATTCCGACTTTCCTCTCAGGAGGCCAGAGAGGAGCGGGTGGCTCTCCCCCGCTTTCACCCTCACAGCTATCCTGTGAGATGGGTTAGCCTGAGAGCGGGCGGCTGGCCTAAGAGCCTCCCGTGAGCTTTGTGGCCGAGGGAGGGCTTGAACTCAGGTCTCCCTGGCCCTGGCCCAGCTCTTTAGCCATGATGCCACACTGGAGCTAAAAATCACTGGTGGGAGGGGGCAGGCTGCACCAGGCGAGCCCCATGACCGAGACCCTTCCTGCCTGCACTCAGAGATATTGCTAACATAAATACAAGCAGGAGGGAAAGCCGTGCGATGGGTCCGCTCTGGCCAGCTTAGATGGGCAGCCTGCAATGTGGGACCAGGAGCCAGGACTCCGGCAGGACTCCGTGGTGAAAGGCTGACTCGCCACCCACCCCTCTCCTCCCCTCCCCTCCCCTCCCAGCCAGTACCTGGTACTCAAAGGTGCTGTCTGCAGCCCCTTCAGGCCCCAGCCCAGCCAGCCGCTCCTTCTCGCGTTGCCTCGCATGCTGGCGCAGGCAGAAGACCACAGCGGCAGTGATGACGATGCCGGCCACGCAGGCCAGTAAGACGAAGGTGAGCAGCACGGAGCGGAAGGTGTCCCCAAAGTGTGTGGGGTGCGGGTATGTTGCAGCCTCGTTGCGCTGTGGGGTCAGAACAGTGGAGTTCCCAGGCAGGAAAGAGAGGGCCACTCAAATAGGCAAGGAGGCACAGTGGCCAGCAATCTCCAGACCACCCTCCCTTCCCAGATGTTCTAGACTCCCCCTCCCATCAGCCCCAAGACATGTGGCTGATCACTAGGAAAGCTGGGAGGTGTGGTCCAAACCTTCTGAAGGGCACGAGGAGGAGAATGCTGCCTGCTGCACTGAGTATCCTCGCTCATTGCCCTTGTGGCAAGACGCCAGACAAGTGGCTTCTCCTCTCTGTGGAGAAAGGGCCACTTCCCCTTGCCCTGCTAGAACCCAGCAGTCCCTGAGAGTGCCCACTGCGCTCACACTTCTTGCTGTAGGCACCCTGCAGCCAGCACACTTTCCGGGCATTGCATGCGGGCAGCAAAACATATCGCCCTCTGCTCTCTCTTGGGATCTCCAGGTGCCCATCGGAGCACACCCACTCCAAATACTGTGGACTTTCAAAATGATCTGGTTAATGCCCCAGTGCTTGGATAACGCCTGGATAATGATCTGGAATGCTCCAACCTGTCCCCGTACCTGACCGTCAAGGCTCAGCAGAGGCCAATCACCACACGCCTTACCTGTCCAACACCCATCTGAAGGATCTTCACTCCCACCTCAGTCTCCAGCTGCGGTTTCACCTGTGCTAGATGGGAAAGTGGGGAGGGTAGAAGAAAGGAATCCACATGGGAGGGCTACCCTTCAGGTTGGGAGACATGCAGGTCAGCCATTGTTGAAAGGCGGGTAGTTGCCAGGGGAAGGAGAGCTTTTGGCTGGCTTGGCAAAAAGGGCGCCCGTCTGCCAGTGCGACATCACACGGGAGGCTGCCTTGATCGGGGTGCAGAACGCCTTTCAGCCAATTCAGTTCCACAGAAGCTCTCGGTGGCTCCAACCCAGCAGTAGAAGAGATGAAGGCAAAAAAGGCCACTCTAAAATATATTTCCAAAGCCTGCCGCATTGCTGTTTAAGGTCCTTACTGCCTTAGTAAAGTAAACCTTAGGAGAGACATTTTGACCTTAAAGCTGGGAAACCACCCAATGAAGTCTGCTCATGCAGGAACTCTGGGTAGGCGAGCAGGAAATGGGCAGGCAGGCAGGCAGGCAGGAGAGCACACAGGTTTTGTCAATTAAGAATATATACCATGCTGAAGGGCATCCCACATGTATTCGTCCAGAATTACCAGCTCCTTCCTGGATCCAGGATGGGGAAAGGGGTCTGAAAACCAGGTGGCTCCTCAGCCATGGTGACCACCAATCCGCAGTTAACTTACCAGCCCTGTTGGCTACATCGCCCAGTGTCAGGTTTTGGTGGTTTTGACGGACACGGAACGTGAGCGCTGGGCCCACAATGCTGCAGGGGAAAGGATTCACAGGTTACAAGGTTCCTGCTTCTAGCCACTGGTGCTGTTTGGCCAACAGGCATGCCTTTCTCTGCCCTTTCCTGCAGGTTGCCTCTCTTGCTACTGTCTTCATGCCCACATAGATGTCCCTGTCATGAACTCCTCAAACAAAGCCCTCCTGTGCTTTGCCTCAGGGTGAGAAACAACACGATAATCATGATCTGGGAGACCTCCAGGAGTCTGGCCAAAAGCCAATTTGCCGCCAGCACCCAGTCACTTGAGGAAGGGCAGCCAGGGGGTTGTGGCCAGGATGCGTTCCAGTTCTCTGCTCATAGATTCGGGTGGCTCATTCTGGCTAGCAGAGCAGACTCAAGATCCAGTGGCAGCGAGCCTGCCGACATAAGCAGACTAGCGCCTTGCAACCATCACCCCTCAGGGGAAAGCGCCAGGACAGGAGATGCAGCTCAGGGGATTTGCATGCGGAAGGTCTTGGGTTCAACCCCCAGCATCTCCAGGGAGGGCTGGGAAAATTCCCACCTGAAACACTGCAGACTAGGCTAGATGGTCCATTTCAGCAACCCAAAAGGCACGGGAGAGACCACTAAGAGCATCTCCTTGGGAAATGCAGCTTCTTCTGGGTAAGCCACCAGCACTGCCCTCCCTCCTGCCTCCCCAAGCTCCTCCCTGTTCCGTGGGAACAAAAAGAACAGCACACTGCAGGTCCTGATGGATCCCCCACCTCTCAGCTAAGCTCTGGCACTCACCTGATGTTGATGAAGCTGGCAGTGGACAAGTGCATGTACTCAGCCAGGATTTCCAGGAGCCGGATGCCAGCAGCAAGGCCCAATGTCCTGCAGGTGGCAGAGATGGAGCAGGTCAAGAGCTGATGGAGGAGGAGGTCTGGGTGGCCAAGACCTTTCCCCATATTTGATAGACAATACCTGGAACCTCCCTTCCCTCCTGCCAGAAAACAGGGCAGCAATCTGGCAAAGAGCTGCTCTTCTGGTCACAAGCATCCCAGCCATGATTTTCAACAGCCCAGGCAAGGTGGCAATCAGGTCGGGGTTCAGCCCACATAATGCAGGGTTTGTAGAATGAGGTCCTCCTTCCCCACCCAGCATCTTCCAGATATGTTGGGCTACAACTCCCACAATCCCCTTGGCCACTGGCCAAGCTGGCTGATGGAAATTAGAGTCCCAAGACATCTGGATAGTCATCAGCGCCTTGCATCAGAGAACACACCTGCCCACCTGGTGCCATCCTTGCCCACATTTCCACGGCCGCAACCCCCAACCAGCACCCCCCTCCCTCACTTCTGGTCAGTGACAATGTAGCCGTATTCCTCCGCAGTCAGTGCCGTCTCTGGCCGCTCCGCCTCCTTGCCAGTTCCTCCTGGGGCGGTGTAGCTCTTCTTCACCATCACCTGCCCCGGGGGCCTGGCCGCATCCCCCTCAGCAGGGTGCAGAGGCTGGGGCTGCTGTGGGGAGGCCGTTGTCAGCACTGCCGTGGCCTTGGGGGGGCCCAGCGTCTCCCCCTCAGCCTGTATCTGCCCCTCTGTGGGAGCCGTGCTGGCATCGCTCTCCTGGGAGGGCGGAGGCTCCGGCTCGTCCCCATGCTGCATTTCAGCTTCTGTGGCCTGCGGAGGAAGAGACAAACCGCTCAGCACACCCAGGGTAGCAGAACTCAGCCGTTCCAGCCCACTGTCAGGAACTCCCCCAGCCCTCTTGCTCAACCAGCCTTGCTAATCGCAAACCCATCCGTCTCTTAGCAGCCTAAGGCTGGCCAGGTCCAAGTCTTGATCTGAGGATGCCGACAGGCCCTCTCCCATCCGCTGCCACAAGCTCTCCTCCACCTTTTGGCTATGGGGTGTGGTACGGTGGCACAGCATGGCCAAATCAGAGGAAGATGACAATTATTGCCTACCACTACTTCTCCACTGGAATTTATTTCCACCCGCAGAAGCTTTTGGGAAAGGGCACCTCAACATTCTTCAGAGGGCTTTAGGATTCTGGCCCAGTGACTGCACTTTGCATCTAGAACATGGGGACACATGTGGTCCCCCAAAGCCTTTGTGGTGGCCACCTAAGATGCCAAAGAACTAAAGCTGTAGAAGAAGCTGCACTTACCCGCTTAGAGTCCAGAGTGTCTGGTCCAAAGCCACCACCTGGAGAATTAGAAAAGGGGAATGTGTAATTTTTAAGGTGAGGGATCTTTAACCCTAAGCCTGTCTGGCAGTCAAACCTGTCCCCAGGATGAGTGGGCAAGGAGGCAAGAAAGGGCTTGTTCTGCACTGGCATCAAACCTCTTCAACAGGTTGCCATGGAGGGACCCATCTCGGCAAACTTCTAGGAAGCTTCTGAACCTTTGTTTTTTTCCTTTGGTCTTCCCCTGATTATGTGTTTTCGGACTCTTTTGTGTAGAATTAGTCAGAATTATGTTTTAGATTTTAGTACTACCTAGGCTAGATGCTTTAATGTTAAGCACTGTTAATGTCATCAGTTTTTGCCACCTTTGTCACCGTATCTGTTTTTACTGAATGAGACCTTACAGGGTACACTGCCTTGGGAGTCCTCTTGTCCTGAAAGGCAGCTTAGAAATTTTTCTAAGAAAAAATAAAAAAAAAATACCATGTTCACTTGGACTCTGGAGGAGACGGATCATGTCCTCTGGTCTAATCCCATAGCTGGCAAGCACTGCTGTGAGTCTTTGTACAGCTCTGTCTGCAGGACAAAAGATGAAGCTGCCACCCACATGTCCTGACAGCTCTCAGGGCTTCCAGGTGGAGATCATAAGCAACAAGTTACTTGTGGGACCCCCATGAAGACACATGCAAGAATGCTCTCACCTGGCTCAGCCAAGTGTGCCCAGGACTTCCTTCCATCTTCGGAGCTTTCACCGTAGTCTTGAAGGGGACTGTCTGTCTTGGAATTTTGCTTGTTCAGAACCCGAGCTTTGGATTTACCTGCCTCCTCTTGAGTCAAGTAAAGTGCGCCAAGGTCTTGGAAAAGTTGGCCTCCATCTGCTCCCTGCTGCCCCCTATAGGACGGGGCTGTGCTGGCACCGAACAGGGTCTTGGAAGCAGCTGCTCTGTCCAGGAGAATGGGAGGCTCTGGGTTGCTGTGATCCTGGAAGGGGACATCTGAGTAGGAGAACTGAAACAGAAGTCCAGAAAAGGCAAGATAGGATCCGAGGGAACTACCTTATGCCAGTGGTCTGGTCCAGTACTGTTGACACAGCCCAGCTGTGGCTCTCCTGGGTTTCAGGCAGGAAGCTTTTCCAGCCCTACCTGGAAATGCAGGAGATCACCTTATGCATGTCAAGCAGGTGTTCCGACACTGAGCCACGGCCTTCCTCTCTAATAGCCCAGGACAGAGAGGTAACAGGGCAACATGCACATGCATAAAAATTGTATTTCAAAGGAGTATAAAGCTTGAAACATGCGTGTTAAAGTGCAACCTTTAAGTTAATCTGCCAAGATATTGAACCAAAAACGAATTGCTATTAGTGTTACTGTTATTGCAGCTTTTATCACGTTTTATTTGCAGGAGGAGCCATAGCTCTGTGGCAGAGCCATCCTTGCATGCAAACGCTTCCAGGATCTTTACCTGGCACTTCTGTTACAAAGAAGGCTCACAAACAGCAGCAGGAGGAATTGGGCTGGATTGACCCAACAACAGACTGAGCTGGTATAACAGAACTTCATATGTCCTGTCGGACATGGCCTTATATTTTGAAAGGTGCTATTTTGAAATAAGAGAACAGAAAGACTACAGAAGATATGCAGACTTGGATGGAGGTGGGGACCCTGTGGTCCTTCTAGATGCTGTTGGGACTCCCACTCCCATCAGGCCCAGCCAGCATAGCCGGTGGTTGGGGACAGAGGGAACCACTAAGGTCACCCAGCCCCATTTTAAATTCAGACATTCTGCAGAAACCGCCACGTGTTGGCTGGGGCTGCCCCTCAAGGCCCTCTGTATGCAGCCATAGCAAAGACACACCTGATGATGAGGGTGAGAGGACAGGAAGGCATCCTTGTAGCCCAGCTCAGGCTGAGAGGGCAGCAGGAGTTCCAGGTACCGCTGCAGCAGGGCTGGTGGGAGGGCAGGCTGGCGGGCTGCCTGGAGGAAGGCCGGCTCAGCGGGCAAAGCGGATCTTCTCGGAGCCTGGTGGATTGGTGGCAACCTGCAAAGAGAACAGAGCAGGATACTTGCTATTCCTATGCTCCTTGACTGCAAGAAGCCGTATTTTGCAGTGCTGCAAGAGGCATGTTCTACATGGTGGAATATCTTCACAGCCAGCAGCTCTGAATGCCAGACTGGGAAGCCCAGATTCAAATCCCCACTCAGCCTGAAAGCTCTTCAAAGGACTTTGGGTCAGTCACTGACTCAGCATAACCAACCTCACAGGGTTGTTGCTAGAATAAATGGAAAGGGGGAAAGCCATGTAAGCTGCCTGGGACGAGCAAGATATAAATATAAAATATTAGGTAAATCAACTAAACTCATTTCCCCCAGACTTCTGCCCACAGCTCACAGTTGGGGCAAAATGATGCATTATTTTTGCTGCATAGTCCTGGCCTTCAACACATGTTGGTTGATTTTTAAACTATTGTTTAAAAAAGCATGTCTCCTTCAATCCAGATTGGGATCCTGGTGTATGTGGGAATCCTCTGCCCCTGCCCCCAGTTCCTATTGCAGTTCTGATCTAGAGCAGGAGCCCCACATCTGCAATGTGCTTTGCCAAAAAAGGGGGGAAATCAATTTAAATGAATGGGTCCTTGTCTTTGTTAATCGCAGGCATTGGTCCTCTTGATCGGTGTTCTTGCTTCTGGGTCCATTGCTTGCAAAGCCTGGAAAACCCATCATGAGAGCCTTCCATCATACAGCAGGCTGCCTCTGGTTATTTTAAAGTCCTGCCATGTTCTCAGCGTCACCCTACACCTTGGCTCTCAAAATTCCAATAGTACATAAGTTTACTCAGAAGTCAGTGTGGATAAACATGGTGCTTACCTGAGAGGGGCATGGACTAGAGAAGATTCTCTGAATTGTGTTCATGTGTCCCTTCTTTAAAACTCCCATTTTAAAAGACAGATGCCAGCTAGAAGAGTAGAGCCTCTGTTTACTCTCCAGTAGGTATGCCCCAGGAAGCAAGGGGTTATGTCTGCTTTCTTATGTCTTATGTCTGCTTTCTCCTTTGCCTCAAGATGGCAAAGGAGTCTGTTTACTGTCCAGTAGGTGTCCTAAAAATTGGTTACAGATATTGGCTGAGAGCTAACAGCAGCTCCTCCATGAAAGTTGATCTCAGCCAGGCAGTTCATCCTACCTTTCCTCGGCCACAGACCCCCATGGAGCAGGGAGGTGAAGCCTAGGGATGCGCTCCATCTCCTGGGAGATCACGTATTGCGTTACGTCATCCTGCCATGATAGACCTGGCATGAAGACAGAGGGCTAAAATCAGAGCAACAACCACAAAAGCCAAGCATGGAATCCCACTTTGAGTGGATGGATAACCATCAATCTTTCAGAAGAAGCCTGAATTCTGCAAAATGACCACTCCTACCACTGACACAAAACCGTTAAGTAAAGGACCCTCTCAGGACATAACATACAGGCAGGGATGGCTTCTCATTCATTAGAGATTTTATTTTGAGGGTTATAAGAGCTATCCATGGTACTTAACTCCATCCCCAAGATAGGTTCACCATCATGGGGTGTTGTGGCTTACTCCTATCAAGATCAAAATAAAAGCTGCAATAGGTAAGGAGTCCCACTGAGATAGGCGTCACCAGCCTCCCCGAAATATAGGGGCAGCAAAACACAGGGGCAGTCTGAACATTTCAGAGATCATGTGCCCTGGGCAGCATGCATCTGTTACCAAAGAAAGGGGACTCAAACCATGTTGCCGGGAATACAAGAAAAATCTTGTATTAATCCCCTGCTCCTGTTTTGTGCAGAGTTGGCCCGTTTCCCTCATCCTGCACTCATTCCTCCCTCTTCCATGGATAAACACTCACCTTGCGCCATAAGGTGCCGGAGAACATCCTGCAGACGCTGCAGCACAGGTGCTGTGACCTGGAAGTAGGGTCGGTCCCGCAGTGAACTTTGTTGGCACTGACCAAACAAGCCATCTGCAAGTACAACATGGCCACAGAATGGGCTGCCACGCCATGCTGGGCAGCAGGGGTGAAGAGAGGGGGGAGGAGGAGAAAGGGCACTGATGCCCTGCTAAGCCAGCGGGCCAATGGCGAGCAGGCTGGTGCACAGGCATTTGCAAGGTATTTTGGCAGAAGGTGGACCAGCAGTGCAGAACCTCAGGCCCAGGGGCCACGTTTAGCCTGCCTGGGACCCCAGGCTGCCTCCCCAGAGTTTCGCCTATGACCGCACCCCCTTCCCTGGATCCACACTGCTTCCCTAACCACAGATCATTTGGTGGCTCTCCAGCTTTTGCACAGGTTTTTCTCCCACTGTAAAAGTGCCTCTCCTGAAGCTTAGTTACCAACAGCAAAAGCTTTCACTTGAATTGCCTGGTGTTGTTCCGGTATTTTGGCTTGCCCCGTTTGCCTTAGATCTGCCCACCATTGAAATGTGGCCCCCAAAATGTCTCTGGAATGGAATTTGGCCACTGGGCAGAAAGAACTTCAACGTGGCTGCACTAAGGGCATGTTTTGAACAAACTGTACGCATGCCTGCCTTAACTAAGCTGGGTGTGTAAGAAGGGCTACAATCCTATGCACACACATTGGACTAGGAGCATGCCCCATTAAACTCAGTGGGACATACTTCTGAGAATGCATGCACAGGATTGCACTGTGTGACAGGGAAAGCAACCTTATTTCATTTTGGAGGGGGAAGCAAGAAGCCACTCTTTCCCCTTGCTCCACCTACATGTCCAAACCGGAACAACATGACTACTTTGCTGTAATTAAGGTTGATTTCACTCAAGGACATATGCCAGCTTGGAAAGTGACAGATCCTAGCAGCACTCTGCAGCAGGTGTGAGCATATGGCAGATTTGCAGTACTCAACCTGAGAATCCAGAAATCCACCAATTGAGCTAAGTGCAAAATAGTGGCTCAGGCTGGCTCACACATGCAAGGAACTGAGGCGCAGCATCCCTCTGGAGTGTTGGCACAGTACTGAAACCAAACTCAAACGTCCTTCCATGCAAAATCCACTCTTGGTTTCCTCCAAGCATTCTTTTCCAGCAATGTAATTTAGTGGTGGCAGGCAGAAAACTTCGTAGTTGTGCCTGTGGGCATACATTTGTGAGTCAGAATATGTTTGTTTGTTTGTTTGTATGCTCATCCATTGAAGAGCACTGAGAGGTCTAACAGGAGATTCCAATCTACCTTCTGCCCACGCTTTTCTATAGACTTCCAAACTGGAACCTGCTCCACAACTCACCAACCCTGGAACTACACCAGTGGGGATGCCAGCTCACATCACTGCCCAGAAACAGACAGGAGGTGCTTTTGTTTCCCATGATTGTAAGCATTCCACTATCCATCCTCCAGCTAAGCCCAGCTCAGTTACCTTGCACGCAGACTTCCTTTTGGGAGCAGAGTCTCCTGTCAAACAGGCAGCCTGGGGGAGCGGGGAGAGAGAGACAGAGAGAGAGAGAGAGAAAATGTCATATTTTTCCAGACAGATGGATAGTTAATTCATAGAAGTGATGATCCAGGATGACTGCTATTCTTTCTGCAGTGACTGAAATCCCACTTGGTATTGAGATAATGCTTTAAGCAGTGATGGTCTTGGAATACATATTGTACTTAGAATGCAGGATGTGTCCTGCAGATGATACCCATTTCTTTGTGCTGTGGGATGACCTTATCTACAGGCTTACTGGACTTGAATGTCCAAGGCCTTTATCAAATAGCAGTGCATGACTCAAAGTTCGCCCAACTTTCATACTAAACTGTTTCTAAGAAACTCACCAAATGGCAGCCAAGTTATTACTGCAAGATACCTTATCTGCAGTGATAATCATTCAGACACAAGAGTGAAAATCACACCAGCTCCAGCAACTACAAAATAGCCAATCCATCAAGGCAGTGAATTTTGCAGAAATTCTGCAATATTTCACAGTTCACAGTAAGTAAGCAGAAGAAATGGACCATCATCTTCAATCAACTGGAAAGCAGAGTAGACGCCAAGTATTTCTACTGTGGTTAGAAATGGCATTGTCTAATGGATTAATGTAAAGGGTGAGTGTTTCATAAAACCTTTGATATGCATTTTGCCTGCTTGCAGCATTGCAAGTGTCCCTCATTAACTCATCTTAATTAAGCTACTGAAACAAAATGAGGGGAAAAGAATTTATGCTCTAACTAGATGCACATAACATAAATATACAAAGCAACTGAGCGCTATTGTGATCCATTGGTTAAGAATGTGGACTGGGAGGGAGGCAATCTGGGTTCTAGTCCCCATTCAGTCATGGAGTTCCTGGGTGACCTTGGGTCAGTCACAGACTCAGGGTCAATCTATCTCATGGTGTTGTTGTTGTGAGGATAAGATTGAGAAGACGAGGAGGAGGAGAATTCTGTAAGCTACTCTGAGTTCTGTGTAAGAAAGAAGGCAGGATATAAATAAATAAATAAATAGCTTTACAATGAGCAAGACATTTTCTTTTTATAAAAGAAAAAAAAATCAGCTGCCCAGAAAGTCCAGATGACCAGCAATTGGCCTAGAATTTATACAGAAAGTCTTATCTGTTACGAAAAGCAAAACAAAACAAAAAGCCTGCATTGTAAAGAAGAGAATGGCCACAGGGAAGAGGTAATTGAGCCAAAACAGTGAAAAATGGGACATTCCCAGGTCCTGATAGAGATTTATGGATTTTTGAAAAAAGAAGAATCTGGCACCCCATCCATCAGTAGCCTTTAATGAGACTCTGAAGTTTAAAGACGGAATAACTTGGAGGTACAAACTGAAGTAGCATTTTAAAAATAAGACGGCTGGAGAACAGGCATAAACTTTATTTCATCAGCCATACTTTACCAAATCTATTAACCTAGGATACAAAAACATTCATAAATTAGCTTTAGCAAACCAGTTTAAAAGAAATAGTCTGATCAGACACAGCACACTTTTGAGTGGGGCTTTTGAGTGGGGCTTGAGAGATAACATTCTCTTGACTGTTGCTTAGGACCCTATCACATCCATGACTTATAGATCTTAAGGTTGTTTTCATGAATTTCCTCACATTCCCCTTTCATTGCACCATTTCAACTGGAGAGACTAAAGCCAGGGTAGGCACTCTTTTGGGTTAGTAACCATATTTGGAAATGTGAAAACCCGTACTTGGCACAACCATAAAATGGCTGCCATAGCCAGGACTAACACAAAGGAAAATTCACCTGCCCAGAGGCATTCATGGGAAATTAAGATAGCAGCAGCTGAGCTCCCAGTCACTTTGAAGCAATCCCAGTTGCCAGTAAGAAAATGTTTTAAATCAAAACTAGGAGGAATTGGTATCTGAGGGCAGACTGTCTGCAGGCCCCACTTGGCCTGTCCTCAGGCTACATTCTTTCCACAACAATTAACAGTTAAAATATCATTTAAATAAAAAGGTCTTGGTCTGGTGTCGAAAAACAAATAATGACTGCACCAGGCAGACCTCTCTGGGGAGCGCATTCCATAGGTGGGGCGCCACCGCAGAGAAAGCACTCCTCTGGGTACTCACCCTCCTAATATCCTTCATGGAGGGTTCCCAGAGAAGGGCCTCTGCCATCGATCTCAAGGGGCAGGAGGGCATATATGGACGCAAGTGCTCCTTTAGATAACCCAGAGCACATCCTGGCTTCCTCTGCAGGGGAGAACAGGTCTCTACCCATCTCCATGTGACATCCCCTCACATACCTGTATGTCGCTAACATATCCCCTCTGAGTCTCCTCTTCTCCAAGCTGAAGAGACCCAGTTCTCTCAGTCTCGCCTCATACCCCATCCCCTGCAAACCGGCCACCATCCTTGTGGCCCTACGCTGCACTGACTCTAACCTGGCTATATCCTTTCTGTAATGAGGGGCCCAAAACTGAACACAATACTCCAGTTGCGGGCGCACCAGAGTCGTGTAGAGTGGTAGTAATACCTCTCTTGATCTAGAAGCCACACTTCTGGCTATGCAACCAGAGGAGAAGCAGGAGATGGGAAATGTTCTTTCCATGAACTTGTTTAACTTCAAGCAATCAAGCCCAATTTGAGGCCATTTTCCTCTCCCTAAAAACCCTTTATTCTCCATCCCATGTTCGAAAAAGCCTGGCTATTTATATAGGGGTTGAGGGGAGAGGCTAGAGAGAGAAGGAGGATATTTGCAAAATTTTCCTATGAACTTTCCTTAGTTAACTTATTTTAATTTCCATTGACTTGCTTGGATCCCGAGTACAGAGTTCAGTACTTGACAGGCTGTCTTTCAGCTTGGCATGCTGGCTTCCCAACTCACAGCATCAGGATTCAAGATGGATTGACACTAGAAAACTTCTTAGGCCAGCAGGATCTCCATCAGAAGTTCAAATGTTGGGAGAGAAATCAGCCTCTCTGCCTGACATTTTAATAGGAGCTCTGACTCTGCTGATACTCCAGGCCAGTCAGCAGACCTCCATCACAACCACTGGTTCCTCCAAGTAGCATCAGAAAGCACCAGCTATTTTTGGACCATAATCTATCTGCAGGATTTGCCCCAAAGCATTTAGCAAGAACACTGAGTTTTTGTCAGGCTGTTTGAAGTTCCTGACAAAGAAAATATTTCAGTGAAATCACTTACATCTGAAAGCAGACTATGCTGAGGAGTGGACAAATAGGAAAAGCAACCTAAATTGTAAAGGTCTTGCCAAGGTGAGTGAGTAGCACAGGAACTGTCCACAATTTCTCCCACTGAAGCAGCAAGCATAGCAAATGCACTTTAATTGTCGACCTCTGGTCCTTAACAATTCAGGCCAGCAGAAGAGGGCTTGATCACCTATAAATCCACAGTTCACCTTTCTAATAGCTTTTGAAAAGTGTGTGATAAGTTACTGCTTTGCTATAACCAGCACTACCTATTTGCAAGCTGGGTGCTTAAATCTTCAAAACTGCAGATTTCCTTTACAGATACCAGCACCTTTTAAAGCACAGGAAGGGGATTTTGAATATTAATTAGGACAGAAAAGCTTGGAATAAGTGATGGTGCTGGTTCATCTAGATCTGCTTTTCCAAATAGGGCATCCCTCAGGCATTTTGGACTTCAACTCCATTCAGCCCCTGCATGGCAGTGCTCAAGAATGCCCGGAGTTGCAGTCCAAAACATGCACCTGGGGAAGGCAGGTATACGTTAGTTCATGCAGGGTAAAAAGAGATGAATGGGACACAAGACAAGCTTGAGAGGTCAGATTAGAACAAGGAAGATCCAGGTTCAAGTCTTTACTTAATCATGAGGCTCATAGGGTAACATGGGGCCAGTTTCCATCTCTCAACCAAATGTTCCCTTTAAGGTTGTTGTCAGGATTGGTAAAGGGAGAACAGTCCATACAGCATTCTCAACTCCTTGGGGGAAAAGCTGGGTATAAATCTGGTGTGTTGAACCCTTTTGGCCTAAGGGTCCAATTCCACTCTGGAGAAGCTCTTGGAGGCCACTTTCCAGTGGTGAGTGGTAATGAAGGCAAAAGCTGCAGAGTAAAATATAGCACATTTTAGCTTAAAGCTCTTAGTGCTAGTTTAACAAAAAGCCAGAAATACCTTAAGAGAGGCATTTAAATCTTCGGAATGGGGAAAATGGCATAAATGCTGGGAAACTGAATGATAGTCGGTCGGGGAAAGGAGACTGTTGTGGTGGCACTTCTGTTTGTGCTGTGTGAGTCTGTAAGCAAGATTGATTGATTTCTTTATGTGGGTGGGCAAATAGTAGATCTCCAGAGCTTTAGACTACAACTCCCAACATTCCTGACCACTGATCATTCTGGCAAAGGCTTCTGGAGTCCAAAATATCTGGATATCTACTGTCTGGCCAGCTGTACTGGATGCCATCTGTCTTCATTGCCAGCCAGCATGACCAACAGTCAGGAAGGATGGACATTGTAGTCCAAAATACATGTAAGGCAACAGATTGAGAAAGGCTATGATTTCCATAGTTTCCACCTATGGTTTGCTTCCACTGACATTTCCAAAGTGATGAAAGAAGGGAGGAATAATTTGCTTGGAACTTCATATCAAGCGTACTGGAACAGAGATTGTAGCTACTGCCTGTTTGGTGCATACCGATAACTGAAAGCTAAATACATATTCTAACCACATGTTATGTAGAGGAGGCCTTCTAACTTTCTGATAACACAAACAAGGCTGCTGTCAGGCCTGGCAAGGCCAGGCCTCTTCAGAACTGCTGAGACTTCACTTTTCTACAAGAAGTTGGAAGCAGAATGAAAACTGGAAGGTAATTCCACATGATGCTACTTTCTCCACTGAAATCTGGGGATGTTCTGCCTCCCCAGGCATAATGACTAACAAGTTAGTCCTGTTCAGAAGTTCTGCCTCTTCCTGAAACTGCCTCTTATTGGAGAACTTTCCCCACCTTTTCTTGTCAAGCAGCTAATTAAGTGCTTCCACTTCACTTGCTGCAGAAATCCTGACTTGCCTTTTATCAGTTTCTTTGCCCACAGACGGAGATTTAATTTCTAGTTTCCTGTTTACAGTCAGAACAGTAGCCTATTAATTAAGTGATTTTTAGGATTGCACTGTAAAAATGCCCTGACAGAAAAAAGCGGGGCGGGAGAAATGGCTCTGGCTGCGATCAGGAAACCAGCAATCTGAAGCCCCACCTACCCTATCGCAGGAAACAGGAAATGACCAATTAAAAGCAATTCAGGAATGCCATAGCAACTGTCATTGAGACTGAACAAGATGTAGCTAATTAGCTTTTTAAGTGCAGGGATAGGCTGGTCCTTTTTAATACAAAACAAATTGTCACAGATGAGATCTGCAGAGACAGAAGTTCAGAAACAACGAGCTGCCATGGAAGGTGATGTCACCTGGATTCTC